CATCCGGCCCATGCAGTCCAGGAATTTGTCTCAAAGTACCTGAAAGCAGGTGGCTGGAAAGAGGAGGAAAAACATAACAAGTATCCTCCACCATCTTCTCCACATGTTCTTTCTTTTTCTATTCTCTCACAGCTCAGCAGCACCCAAAGCAGGTGGTTACAACTTTCTACTTCTCTTGAAATTTCGATTTCTTCCACCCGGTTGCTTTTGAACCCACATGAGTTTTATGGCATCCAGTAGAGTAGGGGCAGAGCCAAAACACTCTACAGCTGACCTGAGTATGGTGCACAAAACCCCACTTTCACTTGTTTCATTTTTTTGCCTTTCAGTGTCACTTGACTGTTGTAGTTCTTGTCTGAAAGAGTGCAAGAAGCTCTTTCTGTTCACCATGTCTGCTCCAATCACAAGTCTATCTACCATATCTACCCTTCAGCTGTTTCTCTCTCAGGCTATCAAACGCAAAAATATTATCATTAAGGAAATGTATTTATTTTGAAAGGTTGTTATGAGGGAAATTTGCCTAAGTCAAAATGAAACAAGCTGGTTTGTGAACTAGATCTCCGGAATAACTCAGAGGGTGTTAGTGGAGCAGATCCTCAAGTGGGACACAGTAAGTTAACCTCAAGGGAAGCTCACCTTAAGGTCTCCTTCCATAAGCCTCGCTCTAACACTATGAGCCTGTTCACTCTGTAATGAGAGAGAAGCTGCCACTGCCTCTCCTCGAGGAAAAAAATAAGTTTCTGACAGATCTTTGCTGTTCTGTGACTTTTTGTTTCCTCACAAGGAAAAAAGCCTCTTTCTTTCCATACTGAAGAAATAAGTAAATACACTTGGCACATTAAAACACGACTCCAGACTAACGGGTATGGTTTTAGCAATTTACTCAGAGACAAAAAACACCAACCAAAACACGACAGAGTTCAGCCAGCTCCACAACCACCTGGTTCCTGTTACCAAACCGCACGGTAAGTTGGTGTAACTGTTGCTCCCCAGGAAAAGCTCTTGGGGTTGCAGCAGCGGGGCACACCTTCTGCGAGCCGGGCTGCGGCCAGGCTGTGAGCCTTCACTTCCAACGCCGGTAGCCTCGTACCCGACCTACGGCCGCCAGTTTCTGCTCCCGACACGTAAAATTCCCCCGTCATTAACTTTCAAAGCGCACGGAGCGTTCTTACCGGAGCTCCCGCCAGCACCCACCTTCCTTGTCCTCCGGCCGCCGCTAGCTCCGCGCCCGGCCCGGCCCCGCTCAGCGCCGCCCCGCACACCCACCGCCCCTTCCTCCTCCTCCTTCTCATCTCCTCCCCTCCAAACTCCGCCGCGGCTGCCGAGCCCCCAAGTTTGCGCCTATGGCAGAGCCGCCGGGAGGAGGCGGGAGCTGCTGCGGCCCCAGCGCGCAGCTACGAGTGGAAAGTTGCAGCCGTGCTCTGCGGCGGGGCCGCGCTCCCACCGCCCTGTCCCGGGACGTCCCCGTCGGCACCGCACTCACCGGGGCGGGGTGGAACGGAACGGACCGGAGCGGAGCGGTGAGGGGGCTGCGCGGAGCTGCCGTTCCGGGAGCGCTCGTCTGGTTGGAAACGCGTGTGCGTACGTGTGTGTACAGTGTGGGTGTACGGGGTGTGTGTACAGTGTGGGTGTACGGGGTGTGTGTACAGTGTGGATGCCCGGTGTGTGTGTACAGTGTGGGTGTACGATGTGTGCAATGTGTGTGCAGGGACATGTGTGCGATACCGCACACTGTGACGTGAAGGAAAAAGGAGGAGCCGCCGCCCGCCCCGCAACCTGGCGGGCAGGAGGAGGAGGATGGGGAGCTAGGGGGACCCGCAGCGAGGTGCCCGGGAGCGGAGCCGGCACCTGGGCTCGGAGAAGTCCCGGGATGGCAAGGCGAGGAGAAGGAGGCGGGAGCGCAGGTCCACGCTGCGGCTTTGCCGTCACTGTGGCGCGGAGGGAGCCCGCTCGGCCGGGGGAAGCGACGGGGCTCGGACGCGCCCCGGTGCCGCCGGCCTGGCTGCCGGAGCGGCCCTAATGGATGGGCTTCTGCCTCCCGGGAAGGGCCCGCCCGCGGCCCGGGCTCCTGCGGAGCTCCTCGCCCTCCTCTCGGGGCGGCCGCGGCCTCTGCTCGGCAGCCCGCGGAACGCACAGACGTGCCAAGGGCCGGGGCGAGCGGCGGGTGGGCGCGGGGCAACCGCCTTGAACCTCTGCCAACAGCGAATGACCTGCCCTCGTACTCGGATACTGCGGTCCCCCTGCGACTTGCAGGCAAAGACTGGTGTTTTAAGGTCAGGTTGAGAGGCTGGGCTCTGCTCTCCGAGGCACCGCTCGCCTGCTGCACCGGTTCGGTCGGCAATTTAGAAGACGCCGCCAGAGCGGAAAGCATGTCTGCTCCGGCAGCGCAGACCTCGCAGCTGGGCACTGTTGTGACAGCTCCGGCTGAAGGCTGCTAATTGCTTAAGCCGCTGTAACCGAGTTGTATGTAACCGTATGCCTCGGCTCCTTCCACAGAAACACAAGTGAAATCAGGACACTGCTGCTGGACAACTCACCTGCAGGTTAATCTGCTGTATAATGCTGGTGTAAGTGGTAGAACTTTCTCTGAGAGACAGTCAAAGCCTCAGCAACACCATCACCTTCCAACACCAGAAAAAAAAATAATAGAAAACTTGTGTTTGAATCCTGTTCTACCTTTGAAAGGTTATGCTCCCTTCCCGAGTCACATTCTTTTCTTGATAGCCTGCAAATGTAGTCATTCGAATTCCAAATCAACTGGTTACTTGACTACTGGTGGCCAGAAGAAAAGCCTGAATCTGATGTATGTGAATGTTCATTCTCTTGATAATTTAAACATGTGTTTTCTCCAGTTAACATCAAGGTTTGAAAAACAAGTCTTTGCCTCTGTGCATAATGACAAAACACTTGCCAACTGCAACTGCTCCAATAATTTATACAAATTCTTATGGCAACATGATTCTAGTATCACATCAGTGTGCCCTTTCCCACCCCACAGCTGCATTTCCCCATCAAAGCCCCAGGGAGCTGTATCTTTGCCTTTATTTCTTTTCCCTGTGTCTCCCTTGCTTATACCTTCTCATAACCTCTGGCCTGTGTTATTCAGGAGGTCAGCTTATCACACTGGACCTTGCTGGCCTTAAAACCTATGAATCGCGCGTTGCACTGTCTGCCTCCCGGCTGCTTATCATCCTTCCTGCTCTCATTATTTTGTTTTCTGCCTCGCATTCTTCCTCACTGGTATTAATCTTCCCACCGATTTTTTTAAACTCCATCTCAGCAATAAATAAATCAATCAATCAATCCATGCAAATATGAATCTGAATTCATGGCTTTTGTTCACTGCATCACCTCTTTCTCCTCTTACTCCCCATCTGAACATAAATAGCAGCCAGAATGCCAGGAGTTTTGTATTCTTTGCATTTTATGTCCTTTCTACTTTAACCTTCGCCACAGAAAGTATGTGCTAACTCACGGCCTAGGAGTGAAGAAGGGCTTTACTAAATGAAAGACCTGAACAATCAAAGGAGCAGGAGGGGCTACTGTTTGTCGGTGGTGAGTAGAAGCTTTATCACTCTGCTGTAGTTAGGAACACCAACAGCTGCCTGTCCTTGACATGTGATAACAGCTTATATTTTTATGCACAAGTACACTTAGCAGAAATTTAAGCAGAGAAAACAAAACACCCTATTCAAGACTTTCAGCCACCTCTTAATGGATCTTTACATTAAGATTCCAGAAGGGAGAATAGAGAAAGTTCAGCTGTGAAAAGACTTGGGAAGCAGAATTCTACATTTGTTAGTCATATTAAAACATATGCTGTCAAAATAACACCTTTCTCAACATGCTTATATACAATATTGGGAAAAAAAGCACCCCAAACTGGTAGCTTATTTTTACATATAGCGTCAGCAAGAGACAGTGGTTTTCTTGTAACACTTTGCACTTTTACCTCTTTGCCCAGCTTGAATCAGATTTACTGTCTCTGTATTTTAGGGCTGCCTTAGGTCATGTGATCACGTTAATATAATGGACTACAAGCATTAATGTCAAATCTTCCCAGTTTTTATACATTAATTTTATTAGACATCTTGTAACAAAGAAAACACATCAAACAAAAGAGTAATTCAGTAATTAACAGTCAAAAGTCTTTCACTTTTCAGTGAAGTGGAATTTGAATTAACATTTCCTTCAAACCAGTATGCCTTTAGGTTTGTTTTGCTGCTGCAGCTGTGAGACTGCTCAATTTTCTCTGTGCGCAAAGTGACCTTCATGAAATATCTGCCACTCAGTAGTCTTTAACTTCTTTTTTGACTTCCAGGCAACCTGCATTTCTTTATCCTTGCAGCCCATCAAGCTATGTTTGCTTATGCATTCCAGGGCACAGTATTAGCTCTCTGCACATCAGACCCCTCTCCCTTACCTAGAACACCTTCTGTTTAAAGCACTAATCAAATCTCCCCTGAACAGCTCTTCAAACTCCAGCTAGTGAGCTCAGATGGTTATGTAGTGACAGGAGATACTTCTCATCCCATACACTTTAGTTAGTGTATGCAGGTGCTATTAGCACCTGCTAGAGTAGCAGGCGCTATTATTTCATCTCTTCTTGTAATTCAGAGAATGAAAGAGCAAGAATGCAGATATCTCTCATGACTGTCAGATGTGTTATAAATACACTACTGAGGCAGTCAAACGTTGTAAAATTAAAGCAACTAGAAATCCTCCAGAGATCCATGTGAGTGGCTAAGATATTGTTAGATGGAAAGAACCGTGTTTCGCAAACAGGCTGACTGTATTTCCTGCCATATGCCAGCACATTTTCTATCAGAAAGACTTGGCTGGAACATGAATGGAATTTCCCTGAGCACTTCTAATGGCTAGGACTCCTCTTTTAACCTTTCTCAGCACCCACCCCCTTCTCAAACATTTGTATTCATCCACACCACATAAAGCAAAGCTGGGGGTGATTTTCAAAGCTGTCCATCCTGATTTTTCACCTAACCTAACAGCTTATGCTATTACACAAACAGGTGCAAACATTTCTGACAGCACATTCTCAAGCAGAGGGATTCCAAGTTTAGGTGTAGGAAGTGACTATCAGTACTGATACCCATCTGGTTCTGTGCAGCCCCATCAAGCATAGGCAGCTGCTGAAATCAGTGGATTTTCATACAGAGATATCAAGTTGTAATATAAGTCACAATGAGCACCACTACATAACAGTCCTCGTCTACTTCCCCATTTCTTAATCTTACAGGACAAAATTTAACATTAACAGTTATCCTCACCTGCTACAAAGTACTCCCTTATTCCTCATTTACCCAAACAACCTTTCAGTTAATTCCAAGCGCTGGTCAAATTATTTATCAACATGACAATAACAAAGCACTTAGTTTTAAAACCTCAAATGTTTACTTTCAACTGACAGTGAAGAAAAAAAATGCTAGCACTGAAGAAGTCTTCAGAATCCAAAATCTTTACATCCTTTGTAGAAATTCCAGTACTTTTCCATTGCAGTGCATGGTAGAAATTCCTCTTTGGGTACCATTATTATGTCATGGAATTGAAGAAAATGTGCCAGACTTTCCACTGAGTTGAACTGGACAGAAGAGCCTATTGAAAATGAATGCAAGTGATTACAGACTGTATATTAAAGTAATGGAAAGCAATTAATCACTGGCCCTATTATCTAGAAAGGTGTTCATATCTTGTTAGAACCACTTAAGCATTAGCCATCTGCAATGGAATCTGTAATGTGTCCTAGGAATCTTGTAGTGTTAAGACCCCGGCCATCTTATCAGTATCTCTCACTTGCACTCAGACTTCAGTGAGATAGCGGCCATACTACATGGTGCTCAGGATGAGAATTCAACCATCTTGGTCATTTTCACCTATGTATCAGGAAAATGCAGTTGTTCTTCAGCATTGCTTGAATTTCACGTATTATATCCACAACAGGTAAGTTTAGTCTACTTTCCCAAAATTAAGGAATCATTCTAACAGGGAATGCACTTGTACAGTCTCCAAAAGACTATATATAAAGGAAGGTGTACACCTGTATGCAAGAAATTGCAGGACTGAACAATGGTTATCTGCAATATTTAAATATCTGCTGGACTGAAACAACTATTGCAATGCACAAACTTAAAGCCCTTGTGTCAGTGCAGGAAAAGCTGAACTTTTACTTCTCATTGTTAAAATCAGTAACAAAATGACCACTGTAAAGATCCAGCAGGAAGAAATTTTACTAGACATTTTCTCCTTTTCTCATTTGAAACTTTTCTTCATTTTCTCAAATGAAAAATTTCTCATTTACTAGACATAACAGCACCGACTCCAAAAGACACTGGACTGTAGTTTTCAGTTACTTGCTTTTCTTTCATCATTCATCCATACTTTCTCCCCTTGGTACCCTTGCACAAAATATCAGAGCTCCTGAGCTGCCATAACCAGCCTAACACAGAAACCGCCAGTCAGGGTAGAATGTAGATGTAGCAGATGTTATCAAGAGAGGAAAGGCTGTCATGAAAGTAAGGACAGGTTCTGATTGTTGTGTTAGTTTTGGTTTGTTGTTTGGGTGTTTTTTTTCAAACACAACAGTGTTCAGATGCCAGACTGTAAGCAGTGGAGAAAGGCCTCATTGTAGTGCCTTGGATACAGAAGTAAATTTAGTAAGGTAAGGAGCACACAGGAAGGGTCTTTCTCTGCTTTCCTACCCTTGCTGTCTTCTTAGGTGCTCTCAGTTTTCTGCCATCTTCATGAACTACAAGATCAGGTATCAATCAGTACCAATAACTGAATGAGCTTTTTTCCCATAAATCTGGGAAAAACACATGTCACCCCTTAGTACTTTTTCCACAATGCTTGTCAAGGCTTTTCTGTCTCTGTTGGCATCTATTTTAGCATTATAGTTTTGAAACTATCCTAAACTGTGTTTCCATTTTGTTACAGTCTTACAAGACCTTGTCTCTGTGGCTGCTAAGAACCTGAAAATTGTATTTACAAAGAATTCCTGTTAGTGGTGAAACTTTATAAATGTCAGACCAAAATCTCCAGTTGCATTAAGGTTAGTCACCAGACTCACACTTCTGTGCAGAGTCACCATTTTATGATCATTAAAATAGCCCTTTAAAGATCACTTTTTAAAAATAGCTTTCCTCCTTGTTTTTCCAAGCAAGAAAGTGCTGGAACTACACAGAAATTAAGCATTTTATAACTATTTTACTTGTATAAAATGAATTTAAATGCTTTTGCAGTTTAAGCAACATATTTGAGTCAATTTACAGGTATGAGTTAATCCAGTTTCAATATTTCTGTGAAACAAGAGTATTATCGTATCTGAGGGAAAGAACTGATTTGCAGTATCAGTTTGTATCAGCAAAGTCAGAGTAGTATCAGCAAAGTCAGAGGAGATTTTATTCTGACTCAAATGGATCTGGTTCAGTGCAGCTAGTCTAGACGTGGGCTACAGATGAGTAAGCAAAGAGAATGACACACTTAAAGGTAACAGCATTTGATCTAGAGTAAAATACAAGGGAGTATTTAGAACAAAAAGCTACCTTAAGAGTTTTCAAGTTTCTTGGAAATTATCCACCCTCCTCTCAAGAACTTAGAAACAAAGATTAGTCACAATCCAGACTCTCAATAGTCCTTATCCATTCAAACCAAGTAAGGTCTTGTAAATGACAGCCAGTGTCTCGCATGAATATTTTTGGATCCTCTCATTCGTTAAGAACCTGCTGCTGAATTGAAGCACATGAGTTCTGCCCATGCTGGTGGTAATTTTGAAAATAACTTTTCTGTCAGCTGATCAGGACCTGGTACCTTGGAAAAAGAGATGTCTGTGGACAGACTGCCACTGTAAGTCTAGGTTCTGACGAAGTCCTATGCTTTCCTGTCTTGTTTTAGTTTTTTATTTCTCCCTGCTCCCCTCCTCCCTCCAAAATGCCTTTATTGTTCCCTGGGTCTCTCCACAGTTTTTGATTCACTTCATGTGATACAGATCTTTATTCTTTTTCCTCCTGTTGGAGGAATATGTTGGAGGACAAGGTCTCTGCCTTTACAAAACCAACCAGTATGGAGTGCTCTTTTTTCTAATACTCACACATATCATATCAGTCAAACACCTGAAGTTAAGGTGTCCATCCCCTAAAAAATACAAGCCAGCAGGGATTTTGGCTAATTGCTTTGTGATCATCTGTGTCCACCTCTATCTGATTTTGAAAGCACTTTTTTCCCCCTGAGAATTAATTTATCAAGTGATCCTAAATTATGCATGATGCATATTTTTTGCACTGGTAGTTATGACCCCCTGAAAAAAATCAAAGGTTATTTATAACATCTTACTAAATAAATAAATCATTTGAGTTTGGAAGCTACCTAATGGACTATAATGACCAGATACTTCATAGCACAGCTGTAATAGTGCCAGAAGGATTTAGAGCACCTTCTGATAGTACCTTAGCATACAGTTCATTCCTTCACATATCAGACACAAGTCACCATGAAAGATCTGTAGGCTTAGTTGATCATTTGCCTGCAACTAGAGCTTGCATAGCAATAATGTGGAACTTAATTCAAATTTCTACAATTCACTATTCTGTTCTTCTAGATAACATTCTAGATTTGAAAAAGTAACATGTATATAGTGGAGGAAGAATAGTATTCCTCAGAAGTTCATTCTGCTGTCCTTCAGTGAGACTGGCAAAACCGATGTCATAAAGCAGAAAAAAAGATTAGGTATGTAGACTCATTCTTTGAAAGTATTTAATAACAATGGCCTTTCTTGTTAAACTCTGTATCTGCATGGAAAAAGGACTTGTGGGTATGATTAAAGATTAAGAATTTATGCATTTTATTCTAAAGCATCACTTTCAAGGTTTATGCTGAAATCTCTGATTATTTTATGTTTCATGTATCAGAAAGTATTGTTCCCACAACACAGATCTGAAAATCTTATACTTTTCTGAGAGACAGGGTTAGGAAATCTTTGATTCTAAATGTCTGAAAAACTAACAATATTAATAATGCTTTATAGCTTTCTTGCAAGCGTTGCCTACATAAGTGATATAAATACAATATATTATTCCCCATTAAAACGTACAGCTACATCATAATTTTATACAGTAACTGTCTTGTCTCTTCTCCTAGATACATTTGGTATATGCCTGTTAGACAGTAATAAATACGTTACATAATAGAATACGTTCTGAACTATTATTCTTCAGGGTCCTTGAATCAGTGTATTAAGATGTAGTTAAGTTTTTTATTTAGCAATGTGGGGAACTCAAAACTTCCAATCTCTTACAGAAATCCATCAATGTTGCAGTATTCTATCAGCAAACATGAGAACAATTTAAATCTCAGTGACTCCTACCTTCTTCAGTATAGCTGTAACATCATTTTTCCTTAGAAGGTGAGAGAGGTATGATTGACGTATATGTAAAATACCAATCAGGAAATGTATACATCCTCCCACAAAAGAATCTACATTCAACACTGAATTTATACAGAAATAAAATATTATAAGTACTTTTAAAAAGCCCCATACTAGCTTATTCCATTTTTCTCACACAAGTATTTTTATACAGCTTTTTGAGAGGCCTTTCAGTTTCTCAATGAAGTCAGTCACTCTATTTAAATATCAAATACAGAGTTGGAATTCAACAACAACAAATGCATACACTAGTAGCCTTTATTAAAAGGCACTAAGATTGCTTTAAAATGATTCATAGGAGATTATTTCTTGGTATGACTAGCAGGGTGCACATTCACACCATACATATAACTTATTATTTTGAGTTATTATTGTATACTTGATACACTTGTATAATCTTTGGAAGTAAAATGCCTGGGTCTCTGAAATTATTTCTAACCATTTTATAAAACGTGAACTTAATGTGCCAAGATAGTGGATAAAAAGCAATTCCAGGGCCAACCTGGAGTAATTAAAACCAGAACAGTTTAAATTTTTTGCAGTTTATAGCACACTGGCATGCAGACTGGAAGAAACAGAAGACAAAGTCTAAATTAAGTTTCAGCTCAGGTCAGAACAGCTATTTGATAGAAAAAACAATAGCTCATGTTTTTCATGCACTGATAAAATCTACAGGAGCTGTGACTCATTCAGTGGGTTTTATGTACAGTAAAAACTTCTAGAGCTTTCTCATAGACTGTTATCATGTGTTGAATTAAAGACAGAATTGTTTTGTTTAGAAGACTTGTCCCAACTTTGCTGTAAGTCACTCCTGAAAAAAATCCCCCAAAGATGTGTAACATAATCTGAATGCTCACCAAGGAAGATCATCAGGTAGCCTCTTAAATGCTTTCATTTGACATGACATTACCAGTGTGTGGTGTCAAAAAAGTCTCTCTTCTCTGTTTCAACTGAAGCAGTAGCTGAAGCCACTGCCTCTGAAGCTTGCTGCTCATCACACTGCCTTTCTTTTATTGCTTTCGTAAGTCAGATAAGAAAAGATAGATGTATTCTAGGAAGATTATCTACAACAGTTCTGTTTGTCTTAGTCTTCTCTTGGTCTCCATGGGAACAGCAAAGCAGATAAAAAATGTTATAGTGCAGCTGATGAGTTAGGAAGATAGGTCAGTTATAAAAATGTTTCTTTTACAACTTGCTCCACAAAGTAAAAAGGCCAGAAAGCCAGTGTTTAAGGTTCTTGACTAGGAGTTGGTTTACTTTTAGCCAGGCTTCTTCAGGAAACATGGTTTCTGTGTGCAACAAAAAGAAGCAATGGTTACAAGTTTTAACAAGTAAGATTCCAACTAGGTATGTGGGAAAAAAAATCACCATGATCATGCTTAAGCACACGTATACCTTGTATGGACATGTTAAGGAATGTCCACCCTTGAAGATATTCAGATCTTGACTGGAGAAGGCACTTAAGCAACCTTATCGAACTTGGAAGTTAGTCTACTTCCAAACAGAGGTTGGACTAAAGACCTTCAAGGGCCCCACCTAACCTACATTAGTCTGCGGTTCAGTACAGTCACACTGTCATTTTTCAAGTAGTTCCCCAGTTTCACAGAAACCTGACTGATAGATAAGAAACTGAAATGAAATTCTTAGAACTGGCTTCCATGGCATGTAGTCCTCGAGAGCTGCTCTTTTTTTCTTTTTTTTAAACTTTTTTGCCTCCTAAAAAGTGAATTTTATGTGGCTGTTACTGGCAACATAGCTGAACTCTGAATCAGTCATGCATCATTCTACCTCATACCTTGCTGACAGTCAAATAAGAGTAGGTGAAAGATTTTGGAAAGGAAAAGTGTGCAGATAGAGGAAGCCTATACTTCAGTTATGGCATTCAGAGTTACTGGAAAATACATCTTCATAAATTCTGCTGACAAACTATGTGTTGCTTTTTAAAGTATGTAAGTACCTAAAGGTAATGCCTGGAACTTTGAAGTCCTGGAAGATACTTACAAATATTTTGTCTGCAAGACATGAAGGTGGGAAAACAGTATAACAGCTGCTGCAATTTGAGATACCTCAGAGAAGGAGAAAGATTATGGATTGAAGTCTTTGCCTACAATCTCACTTTGCTTCCAAAGTGAAAATACAAGGAAAATGCAGGTCATCTCCGTCTTCTACAGTCACATAAATGGGGGCATTTTGTAGCTGATGAGTATTCTGCTAAAGGTAACAGGGAAAACATTATTAGATGCCAGTGTTTTGGTTTTGTGCTCTTTGTTGTTGGTTTGTTGTTTGCTTGGTTTGGTTTGTTGGGGGTTTGTGTGGCTTGTATGATGTTTTGTTTTTTTTTTTAACATGTCCAAGTAATTCTCCTCTTCCGTATTATTACCACCATTATTGATGGTGATGATATAATTCTCAAAAAAAAGAAAAAAAATCAGATATACAGAATCAAGCTCTTTTAAGGCATCCCATTTTGTTAGAGAAAAAGAAAATAATATTAACCTTGGTGTTCTTAGTTTGAATCTTGCTTTTCAATCTCTAAACTACATTAATCATATTTTCCAACATGAAAGTAAGAATAGTAAAGATTTCTAGTGAAAGTAGTTTCTTACATAATGTCTGAGGCTGAGCAGAATCTGGGGCTCTGAACTGAAGTACTATACATATCACAAAATATATTGCAAGTTTTCAAGAACAGGTAATATTTCTTTGCGTTGCAATTACAGGGAGTTTTATACATATTGCAGGAAAAATATACTACAATGGGTTAGGTTTGTTGCTTGGACTAGTACCAAAGTAATATCTTCATCCAGTTCAAAGATACACATGAGATCCCTCTTCTGAGGAGTTTACAGTTCGAAGTCTAATGGCAGATTCTTGCAAATACACACACGTGATGCTTACTAGTGGCCCAATTTTACACCTATCTAGGAGGTATTGAAATACTGAATAGCTTGGTTTCATTCTACTGAAGCAATTCACTTGGATTTAAATATTCTCCTGCCAAGTCAGAAGTTTCAGCATCACAACTTTGTACTGGTGCGCAAGATGAGAAGACTGGTTGGCAAGAAAGCTGAAATTTAATTACTCTTGTAACATTTTCAGGACTAGTGAAGGCCAGAAAGTAAAGTAGTTAAAAGCCAATTTATATACCTGAGTTTTATAGTCAGAATTTATTTAGCGTGAAGTAAAGCAGCAATGCCATTGTGTATCTGACTGGTTCTTTGGAAACAATTGTAGAAGGCAAACAAATACAGCAAACCCATTTATGGGCTATGGGGCTTCTCATAGCATTTCCAAAGCTTCATTTAGAAGATTTCACTTTCTTCACTTCATTAAGGACACTCAATGAAATAATCACCCTGAGGCACTTACTTTAACAGGAATTCCCTTCTTAAGTAGGAGTTTGCTTTTCATAGTTTGCTTTCAAAAATATTTTTGGTCAGACTGTGAAACCTGAAAAGCTTCTCCTCAGAACTGAATGAGAAAGGTTTAGGATCTGTAAGACAGAGATGTAGAAACTGGACTGGTGGTTTTTAAAGGTTAGACAGCATGTTTAGCTCTTCCTTCCTTCAATTAACAGGGTAATTGTAATAGTATAAACGAAAATGTATATATGGAAAAACATTTGTGTGTGTTTCCAATGTACTAATTTTTGTCTTATTATGAATCTCTAATTTTGCATAATCCCCACTGTCAGTGGTTACCTTTGCTACAAAATGGATTTGCTATACAGGCTTATGATAGCAAGGGCCATATGTCTACAAAACTGTTATCTTGGTAAGCAGAACTAAACCTAGTAACTATTTTAGAAAACATGAATGTGGCTGTTCATCTCTTCAGCAGAGAAACACAATTCCTATGAGTTTTAATCTTTCCAATTCATTTAAATCTGGGTTGATACATAGATTTGAACATCATCTACTATACGATCTATTTTTTGTAACTCCGAATACCACCTCCCTCCAAATATTCTGCCCTGGCATTTAAGACACTAAGTCTACTTGCTTCTATTATATAAAAAAAAGAACAAAAAAAAAAAATCCAAACAAAACAACCAACCACAAAAAAACCAACCAAAAGTGGCATAACAAAGCATTTTTTTGCAGAGGATTCACAGATTCAGAGTTTACTTAAGTTTACTTAATCCTTTGTACTGTAGCTGCAGGGATAGACATATAGAAGCATAAAGAGTTGCCTTATAGCGTGGCTACACTTCCAGTTTGCAATGGCTGACACCATTACTGTCTCCCACAGCAGATCCAACTCAGCACTTGTTAGCCACTTCAGTGTAGAGTGTTACCCAACACTGGGCACAGTGGGGGTTTGAGCTGACTCCTCTGATTTTGCAAAGTGGTCAAACAGATCATCCCTCTGCGATGTAATTGAAGGTGGTATAGGCAAAAATCCTGGGTCGTAGTGCAGTAAGTATGGTTCACATTGTACAAATATTACAGATAGGGTTTAACGTGCAATCAACATAAAAATGTAACACTGAAACCACAAAGTTACAAGCTCAGTCAACTCCAAAAAGATCACAGCATCTTCAGGAATGGTTTCACTCTTCCCTTTAAATTAGATTACATGATATTATTCATCAATGCTTTTGTATCATATTTCTCCATCTAAATCCAGAAGGCATTTGTCTATGCTATTATTTTGTGGAGATATTTAACCAAGTATTTAAAATAATATGCAGTCATTTTGTTGACTACATCAAAACAACAAAATGTTTCTCGTTTGGACACAGGAGAGTTGAACATATTAAGCTCTGAAAAATGTAATTCAGATGACCCATGAGCAGAGTTGTAATTTCTCCCCAGCTCTCTTTCTCTCCCACACACAAATCAATTCCACACCACCTACTTTCTTTTTCCTTCTGTATCTCTCACATAGCCCTTGCACCCACCATTAGGATTTTTAGGCAGATAAAAACAGCCTTAAATTCCCTGGTAACAGCTGCTTCTCTTTCAGTGCATGTTTGCGCAACTTCTGCTTGTGGTAAAGATGGGGGTTTTGGCTGCATATTGCTTAGGTCAAAAGTCCCAAGAGGCTGAGCAATGGAGACAGTACCAGGACCCTGATGGTGCTGGTTGTGGTTGCTGGGATCCTTCGTGATAAAATTCTTTCCTGAGAGCATAAGAAGATCAAGACAAATTTGTTCTAAGAACAAACAGTACTGTTTAACGCTGATGGTTTCATGGCTTAATACAGAGAGGAGTTTGGGGTTTTATTTTTCTTAAAGGTAAATACTTAAGTTTTCGCTTAGCTTTATGCCACCTAACACATGTAAAGGCAGACTTCTGTTCCTTTACCAGTCCAGCCATAGCTGCTATAAGATGACTGCTTCTCTCTTTTTTTAAAATATATGTCATCATTGATAAAATTACATTAGATGCCACAAAAAATGAACTTGAAAAGTAGCCTACTAAATATATGTGTTTCGCTGCTTGTCTCAAGGAAAACAGAAACATATAATAACACATACGATCACAGCAAAACTATTCGTACTTGCTTTCATGCAATCTTATTGAGTTCAGCTACGCACTTTATCTGATACCTGAAAAAACATTAACATAAACCTTCTGAAACAGGCCCCGTAGTTCAGCCATTAAGAAATCATCTGGATTCCCTTGAAAACACTCTTTATTCCACGTAACTTTGGGGTCTTCCATGAAATAAAGGTGAGCAAGAGTTGTTCTAATCTTTACAGGTGGCTAACAATTACTAAAGGCAGCAAGAGACTGCCAGAGCACAAGGATTGCACTAGTTATGCTGTTTCCCAAAGACCATCTTCCTGAAATAGCAATGTGCAAAACGAATGTACAGATTACACTTTTTCTAACAACTGGATGTGGTTTTAGTTCAAGTGACTTTGCTGGAATTTCAATATGAAATATCTAATGCCAATATCTGCTCTGCAACTTACAACTGTTTTTCAGCTGACATCCGCGTATTAACATGGCTTGTTATTCTTGGTCCTTTTTAGCAAACATTACGTCATCATTACATGTACCAGAAAGCACAGAGGAATAAATTCCAAGCCACATAATCACTGTTTCTTCTTCTTTTCTATATACAGATAGTCTAAAAGTATGTTTACTTTCTTAATGTTTAGTTCTCTCTCGGGCTTGAATGCAGTAATTCCTGCTTTCTGCTAGTGTGATCCTAGAAGAGACTAAAGGCTCAGACTCAAACATGGGGCATAAAGTGAAATTTAGTTAGGATTTAGGTGACTAATTCCAAAACTGCAATCTTTAAAGCTTCAGTTACATACCTGCATTTGTCTGGGACTACTTTACTTAATGTGCTCTTCAAGTTTTTTGTGTTAACGTTCCTCAGGTATCTAAAAATCTGCTGCTACACTAACCTTGAAGCACCTTAATCTCAACCAAGCTGAAAAGCTAGGACTAGGACACTTCTTATGCTGGCAGCCACAGAAGAGCAATTCCTTAACCTGTTTTTGCCTAGGGACCTTGATTTGGTCAAGGTTCTTAAAACATGCTTCCTAAACTGGGCTCTATACAAAGTTCAGTGGTAGCCGCTTCTTTTTTGAAAAAGATCACTGGACACAGCCACTGCCTGTATCATTTTCTTACCTCTTCATACAGCAGCTCAATGAACACTAAGCTAAGATATGGGAAACTGGAAAGAATGTGTGAAAGGGGTATTTAAAATAATAGGGTATTTAAAATAATAGCATTCTCCTCCAAAAATGCTCAAATTATCAGGCCCCAGTCTTCTTTTTAAATGATATTCTGGGATACATAGAAAAATTTCAATTCAACAACACAGTAAAAAATAAAAATAAAAATTGATTTTCCACAAAAGGAGGATGAATAAAATACACACACATTTTAAGTACATTATAGAGATAAAAGAGTGCCTCAGAATGTCCCCAGGCAAGTGGAACAGAATAGCTCACATCCACACCAGCAAATTTTCCTGTGCTTTCAAGCAGAATGCCTATAGGCAAAGTGCCTGTTGGGAACTGCCCCTGGAACAATCTAACTCCTGAACAGGGCCTGGAAGCCATCTGGGAGCTACCTGATTCCTGTAACTGTTCTCACAATACAACAGCGCAGGTTAATCTTCTTCTGGAATGACTTAAGGCACTGTTTGATTTATCTGTCCACACAGTACCTGGAACAGAACTGAAACTGAGAAAAGAGAAACTTTGGCTTTCTCTCCCTCATTTTCTCACCTAGGGCTAATGGTTAGGCATTACTGTGATCTTAAATTACGTCTGACAAAAAAAAACCAACTTCTTTAACTACCTTTCCCAGATTACACTGGACTGTGAAAAACAGGAAAAAAACCCCACCAACTTACTGATATTCAGGCTGATTTTTGTCTGTCAAGAGTATTTTTTGAATAAATGAATTTCTCTGTTTTCGAAGTTACAGTATTTATCGTAAATTTTCCACTATAGGAATAATTTTCAAGAACTAGTGGAGTACTCAAAAACCTATTAAGCAGTTAAAAGACTAAATACATTTTAAGTCACTTACAACTGGTATAAACTTAGGTTATGAAGCAGGCCAAGGTAAACTCATCATCTGGATGCTCTTAGCCTGAAGCAAATTCCAGTCGAACATGGTACTTTGAATACCAAATCAGTTATTTTAAATTATTATTTTTTAATATTTCAATTTATTTTAATTTATTTCTAGTATGATAACAACAAATCAAGCCTGGTATTCCAGTTCATGTGAGTGAGGTGCAGTGTCCCAACAGTTAAAGGAACCAACCACAAAAGCCCAAAAACTTTTCAGCTTTGAAACGCAACAAGCAGTCAAAGGGACTCGAGTTTCCCTGGAAACACATGACATATCAAAATTAGGCTGAAGTTCTAAAGTCTGCTGGGCCATTCTAAAGAAAATGTTCAACATAATTTTGTCATATCAATGCACTCTGCTTCTTATGGCTGTTTGTTTTTGGAGAATAATCCCCCTAGTTATTCATGTTGCTTGGGCATACCAGGATCTCCACCAACAAAGAATATTTAATATGATTTTAAGATGTACATATAATTAAAACTTATACTAGTGTATATGAGTTTTCAACACAATAAAAGAAGTATTAAATTAGCTTATTAAAACTTCAGCATACATAAAATATTTATAATGTAAATTGCTACCTAAATATTATTTACATAGCAACTGAGTCATTAGTATTTATTTTCTTCACACAACCAATTTATGGAAGAAAAGAAACATTCTTCTTTAGAAACCATGTGTAAGTTCTGGCATTATCTATATTTCAAACCCAAGATCTGTGATAAGCACATAGCTCAGGAAAAAAAAAAAAATCAGGAGGCAACTGAGGAATTTTTGAATTTAAGCTCTTTAGAAATCACTTTCTGATGCTTCTGTCATGGTGAATAGTAGATTTTAAGTGGTACATACCCAAAGGCATTCTTTCTTGTGAGGGTAATTCTGCGTCTTCAGAAACTGATACTCCTTCATCAAGAAATTTTGACAACTGTGTCCCAAGATATGTAACCTGTAAAAATATACCTAAATGGATGCCTGGTGATTTTAACTAGTGCATTTTCGTCTGATAGGTGTAAAAATTCCACTTTTCTTATAAAACTGAGTTTATGCACTTAACAGTTTAATCTGTGTCTGTCAAGGTCAAGCAGAAATTCTGCTAATTTGAATTCTGAATGAAAAAAAGCATAATACAACGCATCTGCAAAGCCTTCTTACACTCCACCAGTATTTTTGCAACATTTGTCCCTGACACACTGACATTTCTGTAAATTTGGTCCTTTCCATTCTAACTACCTTTTAGCTTTTTCTGTAAATTTGGTCCTTTCCATTCTAACTACCTTTTAGCTTTTTCTGTCAGCCTCTTAATCATCTTTAAAACTCCTCTTTCAAAGCACTGATAGCTTACAGAGTGGGCATTCCACATTCTCTCAGCGCTTGTGTTAGTTCATCACTGTACAGTTACAGCTATGTAGCTTTTTCTTTGCTGCTTATTCATTAAGAGTAAAAAGGTTTTAAAATTGAGGCTTGTACCCTCTTTTGAGAGATCCAGATTAGTGATGTATTGCTATTTTTGGAGTAAAGTCAGGCCTACCTTATTCCATGCATACTTCCATGTCACATAAATATCATTTCCTAGTAGGTCTTTAACCCAATGAACTGGATTCTGCATTACTTGTCCCTTACTGGTTCTGATCTTGCCATTGTTTAAGAGCGCAGCTTTATGACTAAATTCCTAAAAAATGAAAGTCAGGAAGTAGTTTTCAATTTATAAATTAACAAATCTGAATTAATATCCTTAAAACATGAAAAAAAATACTGAAGAATAATATAGCTGAAAATAGCTAATTCTGTTTCTCTCTGAAAAACAAAGAAAAAAAAAAGCCACTATCAAAAACTGTAAATGTAAAATAACGTGATTTATTTCACCAGAATAAGATGTTTTAGCCACACTAATACCACTGCTGGAGGACAAATCTCCCTACTTGTCTTTATCAGAACTGTATTTGCATCTTAGATCCTCTTAGAGATAATATGGCTGTGAATAAATTAATTTGCAACAGTGAACCCAGGAATTGACAAGAGGCAATTCTGTGCAACCAGAAACTGTTACACAAATGCAATCTTCCTTACACTTGTGGAACATGTCACAGTGAAATTCCAGCAATGATTCAAAAATGAAATATATTTGCATATAAACTTATGTCAAGGGACAACAATTACATGTTTTAGGAGGAACCTGATAGCCTTATCTTATGCAAAATAAAGTATAATATGTATTTATTGTTGTCGCCTCTTTGATAGTGCTAACACAGCCCAACTCTGCAAACATACAAGCATGGCTTATACTATTTATAGTTCAGTATATTATGATTATTATATGATATGATATTATATTATATGATATTATATTATGTTAACCTAACTGGTCTCAGTTAAGCTAACACAGCTAAATGCAAAAAATTAGTTGTTGATAAACTAAGCTACAACGTAGTAAGGTTGCTTAACCTGCCTAAGGTTAAACAATCAGAGTAAGAGGAAATGATCCACTAGTAAACACTGAACTGGCCTCCTACGATATCCACTGGCTTGGAGTGTCTATAAGAATCTAAATTAAGATGTCTGATGAACACTCCAAACACTATTTTGATGAACACTCAATCCAGTTCATTGTTTCACAGTTTAGGTGAAACATTCAAAAACTGCATTATGCCTGCCAAAAGCTAACCTTAAGTAAGGACTGTGTACCAGCTCTATGCTGTTATTTAGTACATCTCTACAATGATAAAGAAGGAAACTTTACTGGTCATCTCTTTGCAACACAACAGACACTGGCTTCTAAACTTCTATCTTATAGCACTGTTTTCCAAGACATAAATGAGGGTCATTTTCATTCTTGTAAAAATTGTTGACTTCTCCATACTCCAAAACATCAACATTTCAATATAGGGTTGTAATTCTTTAAGATCCACATGCATCATGGCAGTATCACAGGTAACAGCCTTGATAAATCACAGTACACATACTGAATTCTTCATCCTTTCACTTAATCATCTTGAGGTTCAGAGGAATATTACATGTCCTTTAAAGAAAAGAAGCATGTGTATATACCTATGACACAGCCCAATGTAGAAGCTTGTGACTTACTCAGCTGCCTTGTATTACAAAACACAAGACCACAAGAAATGGCCACTCTCAGCAGAAAAGCATTCCTGAGCAGATTATAGGTGCAGAAAACAGAGTCTTTTCCACATTAACTACACCTGGTGCTTTGGCTGAAAAGACCCCTTCATATTTTAATCAATATGTTGCCCTGGAAATTAACAAGCTCACAGCTGGGAATTCAGTAAATAATTCTATCATTTGCTCAATACTAAGCCAGTCCCTTGGCAGCTGCCTCACAAATCTTCTCTGTATTTGCAGGCACAGGGATGTACTTTTGTAGCAAAAGAAAAAGAGGTATTTTTTTGGTTGTGGGGTTTTTTTACATATGCTTTATACCAGACTGTAAACTATGGAACCAGCTGGCATGTAAGGAATTTTGCATATATTTGTGTCTAACGCAGCGCTATGAAATCCTTGATGTAACATTTCTTTATTTGAGGGACTTGACAGTTGCTTCCAAGAATCGCATTAAGTCATAAAAACCTTAATGTTCCTGCTACTTCCAATATGAAAATCACGTATTACACAATGTAGACCAACCAATGATTCCACTCTGGTTTTAGCAACAGGAAACGTTAAGAAGCTGGTAAGGCAAAGTTAAGAAATAAACTCTACATATGCAATATTCTGGGTGTTAAAATTATAGGCTAACAGAAGATGCCATTCATAGCATTTCCCTTCCAAACTCATAACAAGTTATATGTAACCAATGAGTAAAAATTTTCAATACTAAGTGCTGAAGATGCAGACTAAAACATGAGAACTGCTCTTTCCCCATTTCAGTGTTTTGCTTTGTTTGTTATTGTGGTTTTTTTCATTATATGCTAATATTAACATTATTATATTAACATTATTATATCTCAGTAATTACCTGCAGTTTGAATTCTAAAACATTTTCTCCTGGCTTAATCTTTCCCAATTCAAGTAGATCTATCAGCTGAAGCTTCTTCTTATTTCTTCGTCTACACCTCACTTGGATTTGTTCACATTCTTGATTACTATAGCTCTGGGAAGCTTTCTCACTGAGATTTACTGGATAATCTGTATTTGAGGTATGATTTGAAAGTACCAAGTTGGCATTAAACGAGTTCTCAGCACTCTGGAAGATCATTTGCTGCAAAGTATTAGGGAAGTTCTTTGTAGATTTTGACAAAATTATTCGCTGTTGCTGCTGCTGGAAAGCTTCTTTCTCATTTTTGTATCTCTGTAGACCCTCAACTGTAAGAACCTGCTGGCAGTCACTGCCTGGCTGACAGACATTGTTATTGACAACAGTGCTTCGGGGTTCTACAATATTGAATACCTTTGTCACTGAAGTGGGATTTAAAGACTTGTTTCCTTGTTCTGCAATTGCCACACAATCAATGTCTGTCTGCTGTAAGTACTTTGATTTAGCAGTGGAAACAGTAGGTTCTGAAGGCAATGTCACCACTTCTAGAGCATTTGTCAGTTTTGACTTGTTGTCGAAGGGATATTCTCTTACTCTGCTTTCATATGCCAAAGCATGATCAAAAGCCTCTTTGCTTCTAATTGCTTCTTTATTTGCTCCTGTCTCATTCAAGCAGATGTGTGGATGTTGGCTGCAGTCCTCAGCTGGAAATCTATATTCTAAAGGGAGATGGGCTTCTACTCTGTTTCCATCAGGCATGCTGGCACCAAGCCCCATGCTAAATGTAACTACATCAGGACACACAATTTCATCAGCAGTTAAACTTTGTCTTTCATCATTTCCACAGGAAATAACTGAGTTTGAGATCTGCTTCTCTGAACATGGTGCACTGAACACTTTCTTTGTTTTTCTGTAATTTTGTATTTTCTGGACTAATTTTTCCTGGTTTTGGGCAACAGTCAACAGACTCTTTTGCCTAGAAGCAAGGTTAACTAATTGTTTCCTCAGTGCTCCTTTTTTAAAAGATTCTACTGAAGCCCTGTAGAAATGGAAAACAGAAACAGCTTAACACATGTAATCCATTAAGAACAGGAATATGTTTCAGAGGATTCTGCCAACACCTGAAATTTGAACAATCTCTTTATCATGCATGAAGTTTACAGTTCCAATCCCAGGCCCAACAAACTGCAGAATCCTGCCTAGAAGTAGGATGCAAAGCATCAGAAGTTCAGTGATAGCCTTGTCCTTCTATACCACCCTTCATACACAGAATCAAAATTGTCTGTTCACACGGGCTGCTCTTTTACTACTACAAATCACAACAGTTCATTGAATTCAATGCCTTTGCAGCTCTCATTTCGAGCCTTTTAAAATGAACTCAGGATGAGCTACTGAAGGATGACACTACCACAAAGTTTTTATGTGGTACACAACAAAACATTTTATGAAGCCGCAACTGTAACACCCCATGATCCTGCTCTCTACCTCAGCTCATCTGCCTCTGAGACTCCTTCACCACAGGACCTCCCCCCTTTCCTGCTGGAAGGGAATTCTTTATTTTCCTCACTTCCTTTGGCATAACAGCCACCAGAACAGTATAATACTCTTTCCTCCTAACTTCCCCTGAGATAAGTGATTGCATCACCACTCTGGCACCACGCTGGGACGACAGAGGAGTACCACATGGTGTGGGAAAAGGGATAGCAGCATGGTTTGATTTTAACTTCACTCACAGCAGAAGTGCCATGCAAGTAACACCATCCTAGTGAGAGAGAGGTACAGCAAGACTAATCAGTGCAGAACAAGGACACCCAAACCATAGTGTGACAGTATTGGTGTCTATGTTGTGATATTGCTTACTATCACATGTGTTTAGAATCTGTGATATGATCAACATATCAGCATATAGTTTATCACTGATACGCATAAGCCTTGACAACTATGGACTCCTAAACAGGCCAGTTAGGCTCCACAGTTTTCTAGCATTGTTTCTTCAGGAAATTATTGTTGCTTTATTCCTATACAGATACAGAAGAACCTGCTACTGAAAAGGCAAAGATAGTGTGACTAAAATGATAAAGGCAAAGTAACTTAACAGCCACTGACAAATAGGATGCTTTTTTCCCCATTTTTCTTAGGTGAGAGATACAACTTAATATCTTCAAATGAATGAACAGAAATGGAAAAGTGTTAGCAGGCTAACTAACTGAACAACAGAAAGATGGAAAATGTTATGATGGCTCCTGATTTTCTGTACATTTATGTATTGTGTGACAAAAGCTTATATGCTAATTAGTTAAGAAAATGTTCAAGATATAATGAAAAGGAAATTTAATGTAATTTGGCATGTACCTCATTGCTGTTAAATAGATGTTGCATTAGCTGCAAGGTACCTGCAATACCAAGAAATATTTATCATTTTGCTCTGGAACGGTTTCACTTTCAATATCAGAAGGCTGGTAAGTTTGTGTAGGCATTAGTTTTACTATTCTTGTTTCTTAATTTAGTCACTGGTTTGTTCACAAGGATGATGTGGAACCCTAACTTCTCTTCACATAAAATCCTCTCTTTTTTTTTTATTATCTGTATAACCTATGTATCTTACATTTTATAGTTGGTAAAATGGTCTGTGACTGAAACATTTCAGAGTCTTTGCTCAACCAGCCTATATGTTTTGTCATGTAACTACCTGAAAGCTGTGAACTGTTGCTTTTACATGACCAAATGAATACTGCTTGCACAAACAACATGCAGACATGCTCCTCAGAGGGCTTCAAAGCATCCACTGAATACAATGCTACATTGTTAGCTGAGCACTCACCACATGACCAGCATTTAGGCAGTCTCTCTTAGAAGGAAGTATAAAGAGGCTTTGTGAGAGCTGGCAGCAGGAACCTGAAAATTCACAGTCCATGCTCACACTGAGGTGAGCATGCCCAGCTCACATTTGAGGTGTCCTTACAGAAAAGGAACATCTGCAAGCACACTTTAAGCCATTGCTTTACACGGCTCTTGGGGGCTCTTGGTTGATCACTCCCAATGTAAGGGTGCTAAAGAAACAAAACCGGAGGCAGGGATGCTACAAGTAGTGCTACGGCTTTCCTCCATGATGTTACAAATGTACTCCAATTGCTCAGTACTTCCATTTCCTCATTTCTGCTTAGGAATTTTCCACACCTTTTTTATGTTCACTACCTAATTTCAGTTTTCATTGTATGGACAGCCACTGATTAGTATACATGAGCTCTTTCTTGATGTAAACTCTTAATGGGGATAAGAGAAGCCAATACACATCATGCTTCCACAAAATGTGAATGAGAACCACATAGTTTTACTTGCATTCTACTGTATGCTCACCTTCTAACAATTTCTATCACTACTGCTGTTAAGAATAGCTTCCTTTAAATACAGTCCTTTTATTTTAATTACCTGTATTTTTTAGCAAGTGTATCCCTTTCTGCTTTCTGTTTTGCAAGCATTTCATTCAAAGTATCTTGCAACTGAGACAGCCTTTGGATATATGTATCTGTCCAACAATTTGATACAATCAAAATTATGACAATAAGAGGTGGAAAATAATTACATTAATAACATTTTTAATGTAGCTATATTTTTCTAAAATGACAGAAGCAATTATAGATTCTTCTTCATATGCCCTGTCTCTTAGCCATGTAACATATGGGAGAGAGAGTTCAGAAGTCATGACCAGTGAATGCCACTGGGATAACATGCTAGACATTTAATCTAATTCCTGAAACTCTAAACCAGGAAAAACAAGCTTTCCATAATAATGAAAAATGGGAAATTACAGGATTAAAAATGTCATTTATAAAATGTTTCCCCAGACTTGTTTCATAGTATGTACAAGTATTTATTTACTTAGTAAATTACAAAAGTATAAAAATATCACTCTTATTAAGGCAGCTTAATAGGGAATTTTAATCTACTATTTACAATAGGTTTTACCGCATGCAAATACCTTCAGTATTTTATTCTACATTCTAAGTTTGTCAATGTACTTCTATGTTCTTGTTCAGTCTTGTGCTTCTTCACAAGTAATAACTATAATTTAGTTTAAGAGATGCCTTTGTCAGTAGTGGTAACAGTCATCATGCTAATTTCTCTTACTCCCCTAACAGGAGAAGTTTGATAGTTCTGTTTTGCTTATTTGTGAAATTGCACTGATCTCTGCCTATAGGCTTATCTATTGTATCATCTAAACCACAATTTTCAAGAAAACACATCAATTTTAATTAACAGTTCATAAACACAAATTTCAGTTGGAAGCCATAAATCAGCATTAAGTCTGCATTTATTTTTAAAATTAACTAGTTTAAGTACAGTTTGAAAGCTCCACCCTATATTCAGGAAAATAAATTTAAAACCCCCTTCCTTTCTGTGAGTAAGGAAACCTGTTCCATGGGCATGAGTTGCTAGGCATGCGTAAACAGCCCTGCCTGGATAGCAAGGGCAGCTTTGGTCAAAGGTATTCCTGCAGCAAGCTTTGCCACTTGAACAGTCACAGCACAGACACAATAGACTTAAACTGCTATGCAGCACCAGCATCGAGATCTCCAAGAAAGTCACTGTCACTTAGTAAACTCTTGAGATTAATCTGAACTGAGATTTGATAGCCTAAGACAATCATAGGGATATAGAATGGTTTGGGTTGGAAAGGACCTTAAGATCATCTAGTTCCAACCCCCCTACCATGGTCAGGGACACATCCCACTAAACCAGGTCACTCAAAGCTCTGTCCAACCTGGCCTTGAGCACCACCAGGGATGGAGCATTCACAACTTCCTTGGGCAACCCATTCCAGTGCCTCACCACCCTCACAGTAAAGAACTTCTTCCTTATATCCAATGTAAACTTCCCCTGTTTAAGTTTTAACCAGTTACCCCTTGTCCTATCACTACAGTTAAGAGTCTCTCCCCAGCACCCTTATAGGCCCCCTTCAGATAACTGGAAGGCTGCTATGAGGTCTTCACAAAGCCTTCTCTTCTCCAGGATGAACAGCCCCAACCTTCTCAGCCTGTCTTCATATGGGAGGTGCTCCAGTCCCCTCATGGCCCTCCTCTGGACTTGTTCCAACAGTTCCATGTCCTTTTTACATTGAGTACATAGACCTGTACACAATACTCCAAGTGAGGTCTCACAAGAGCAGAGTAGAGGGGCAGGATCACTTCCTTTGACCTGCTGGTCACGCTCCTTTTGATGCAGCCTAGGATACAGTTGGCCTTCTGGCCTGCAAGCACATACTGCAGCTGGCTCATGTTAAGTTTCTCATAGACCAATAGCCCCAAGTCCTTCTCCGCAGGGCTGCTCTGAATCTCTTCTCTGTCCAACCTGTAGCTGAGCCTGGGATTGCTCTGACCCAGGTGTAGGACCTTGCACTTGGCATGGTTAAACTTCATGAGGCTGGCATTAGCCCACCTTACAAGCATGTCAAGGTCCTTCTGGATGGAATCCCTTCCCTCCAGCGTATCAACCGAACCACACAGCTTGGTGTCATCAAACTTGCTGAGGGTGCACTCAATCCCACTGTCCATGTCACCGACAAAGATACTGAACGAGACTGATCCCCACATTGATCTCTGAGAGTCATCACTCGTTACTGGTCTCCAACTGGACACTGAGCCATTGACCACAACTCTTTGCATGCAGCCATCCAGCCAGTTCTTTATCCACCAAGTGGTCCACCTATCAAATTTATGTCTCTCCAATTTAGAGACAAGGATGTCGTGTGGGACAGTGTTGAACACTGCGCAATTCCAGGCAGGTGATGTAAACTGCTCTGTCCCTGTCCACCAGTTCTGTATCCCCATCATAGAAGGTCACCAAATTGGTCTGGCAGGATTTCCCCTTACTGAAGCCATGCTGGCTGTCACCAACCACCTTGTTGTCTTTAATGCACCTTAGGATGCTTTCCAGGAGAATCTGCTCCACAATTTTGCCAGGCACAGAGGTGAGACTGACTGGTCTGTAGTTCCCTGGGTTGTATATTTTCCCCTTCCTGAATATGGGGGTTATATTTCCCTTCTTCCAGTCATCAGCAACTTCACCTGACTGCCAATCATCATATTTGAAAAATCATGGCAGTCAGGTGAATTTCCCGACAAGGTGGTTGGTGACAGCCCACATGGCTTCACTAAGGGGCCCTGCAGACAAGTATTTAGGGGTGTTGGTTGATGAGAAACTTAAATAATGAGCCAGCTGCAGTGTGTGCTTGCAGTCCACTGTATCCTGGGCTGCAACAAAAGGAGCGTGACCAGCAGGTCAAAGGAGGTGATCCTGCCCCTCTACTCTGCTCTTGTGAGACCTCACTTGGAGTATTGTGTGCAGTTCTGGTGTCCTCAACATAAAAAGGACATGGAACTGTTGGAACAAGTCCAGAGGAGGGCCACGAGGATGATCAGGGGACTGGAGCACCTCCTGTATGAAGACAGGCTGAGAAGGTTGGGGCTGTTCAGCCTGGAGAAGAGAAGGCTTTGTGAAGACCTCATAGCAGCCTTCCAGTTATCTGAAGGGGGCCTATAAGGATGCTGGGGAGAGACTCTTAACTGTAGTGATAGGACAAGGGGTAACTGGTTAAAACTTAAACAGGGGAAGTTTACATTGGATATAAGGAAGAAGTTCTTTACTGTGAGGGTGGTGAGGCACTGGAATGGGTTGCCCAAGGAAGTTGTGAATGCTCCATCCCTGGTGGTGTTCAAAGCCAGGTTGGACAGAGCCTTGGGTGACATGGTTTAGTGTGAGGTGTCCCTGCCCATGGCAGGGAAGTTGGAACGAGATGATCTTAAGGTCCTTTCCAACCCTAACTATTCTATGATTCTATGGACAGTGGCTTAGCAACTTCATTTGCCAGCTCCTTCAGGACCTGCGGGTAGATTTCATCAGGTCCCAGGGACTTACACATGTTCAGGTTCTTAAGGTGCTCTCAAACCAGATCCTCTCCTACAGTGGGCCCAAGATCTTCATTCTCACAGTCCCTGCATCTGCCTTCTGAGACTTGGGTGGTGTGATCTGAGCATTTGCCAGTGAAGACTGAGTCAAAGAATTCATTAAGAGCCTCAGCCTTCTCCAAATCCAGGGTAGCCAGTTATCCTGTTTCCTTCCAGAGAAAGCCCACATTGTCCCTAGTCTGTCTTTTATTCGCAACATACCTACAGAATCCCTTCCTGTTATCTTCCACATCCCTAGCCAAGTTTAATTCTAACTGGGCCTTAGCTTTTCTAACTTGGTCCCTAGCTTCCTGGACAACATCCCTGTTTTCTTCCCAGGCCACCTGTCCTTGCTTCTACCAAATTACACCTCTGGACAACAGTACTTCTGAAATTGCCCATCATCCACAGTGCCTGCCTTAAAGTTTTCTCTTTTTTTCCCTCATAGATTATTTTAGGATTTTGAAAGTCCAGCCACATTAGAATCAAAATGATGCGTATGTTACTTTACATATAGGCAGAGTATTCTTGACCATGAAGGGGCTCATGTATTTATCACTGAATAATGTTGCTAACAGTGTGCATTCTTATCTATTATACATCTAATATACCTAATATATCTATCAACTATACTACAACCAATATTATTTTTAAAATAATTATATTACCAATTATAATTATTCGTGACTTCCCGCCCTGAAAAAAAAAAAAAGTGAAAAAACTGAAATTTATGTCTACCCGCATCTTTGGAAGTTCTCAATTCAAGCAGCAACAGTTCTTTTTGCCTCTTTTCTGCATCTTGTATGGCAGCAACAGGCTCCTGTTGATAAATATAGAAATGATGTTAAGAAATAGAGCCAAATGCACCATACAAAACATGCCATGACAAATGGCCTGTAGGTTAAGTACTGATGGACTCAAGTAATACCAGGCAGGGTATAGCAGTAACGGGAGCACTGGTAACATAGACATATGTATTACCCAATGTATGCTCTGCAAGGGGCTGTCACATCCTGGTTTTGCCTAGGCATTCAAACTAGTCCATGTTCAGGATCCCACCCCTGAGCACACTACAGGGATTAGACAGTGAATCTCACCATGACAGCATCACCTAGACAATGTAGACAAGACTACAGATACCAGCAAGAGCTGTCTTAACATACAACTTATGCAAAAATATTCCTGTCTGTTTTGAATTAAGATTAAACAATTTCTAAATACCTTAATTATCATGAAGAAAAATCATTACTCTTTCAAAGAGCCATTTTGGAAATGTGATGAAAAGCCTCAGGATTCCTGACCTTTTTTCTATTCATATAGGCAATAAGAAATATATATAAGTATTACCACTGTTTGCACAACAAATAGAAGTGCAAAGGAATCATGAACAGAGAGAAGTGATAACATACGCACTTGCACACTGTAAACCACAGTTTATATACTGTAAGCCTCTGCATGATGATGTTTTCTACATACATTCTAAAGGGTTAATTATTTAAATTATATTTTCATGTTATTCAGTCAGTAAATAACACTGCAATAATACACTGTAAAGCAGCTTAACAAAATTCTGTTATCTATACTTACCACACTGTATTTCTCACATTGTGGCTCCAAATCTGCATTATCATTTTCACAGTTGCTGTAACAAGGATATTTTGATCTTGATCTAGAAGGATCTCTCATTCCTATGCAATTAAGAAAAAATAAATAGAATTTAAAATGATTTTGCATGAGCATAATAGGTTAGATTAGCTAATGTAGGTTACAAAGACACAATGGCAGATAACATCATTAAAAATATCTTGTAGATGCAAATGAGATTGAATTTAGGTAGCACAAGGAAATAAGTCTTTAAAGCTACTCCATTCTAAAACACAACACTCCTGTGAAGGGAAACATGGCTAATAACAAAAATCTGAAGAGATAAGTATGTATGTCCTTGTATATCATTCTCTCAGGAAATAAAAGAAAACAAAGCAAACCAAACTCATGTATCCTATTTTCTGAAAATAAATAAAATTCAGTAGTTAACTGAATTAAAAGTATCAGTGTTGGGCAATATGCCGTGAATCAGCAGCATTCTAATGTACTGATTTTCCTTAAGACTCAGGGTAATCCTATGATTTACATTATAAACCCAACATACCTGTCACTTCAATAGTGTCAACAGGAGGTAGCGAGTCCATAGCACAGAAAGACCTCAGCAGTTCACTCATTCCATCATCATGAGCTTCATCCAAAGCACTTTTCCCTGAATTACTTCTCTCACAGGGATTTGCTCCATGCTGTAGGAGAACCCTGACGGCCTGTTGCAGATTATTATGATGTGTATTGTGGTAATTCTTGTTGTAAACTTATAATACAACTATATGTGTTGTATTTATCATAAATCATAACTAATAAAGGTACAAATAAGATACTCTAAAACCTGTTACAGTTGCAATCCCAATTAAACAAACAAGTTCAATTGGCTATTATCAACCGACTTGTACTTTAACAGTTCTAATTTTCCATTAAAATACACAAATAATTCACAACTTGTCATTAAACCTATCATGTTTATGGTATTGTTCTAGAGAGCAATCAAAAACCTTCATCTATCTAAAATAAAAGGAACCAGTCAATTGCATTAAGATTGAAGGGCAGAAAAGAAGCTGATTTTTTTCCTTTAAGTATTTAATAGTGGGTTTGTTTTTTTGGTTACATGCACTGACTATTTTTTTCCAAATTCCAAGTCTCTTGCAAGTCTTTATTGTAAAATATGGAAATGAGATTAGTGGCATCAGTGGAATCATCTACCCCCTAAAATTCAGATCACACAGAAGTGTTGACAAACTCAGCTTTGATAGTAAAGAATTTTCATATATATGAAATTTCTAAGACTATATTAAAGAATTTATAAAAATATTAAAGAATTTTCATATATATGAAATTTAGCATTTCTTCTTTTTTTCTCATATTCAGAGTGCTGTTAAGTATCAAAAAGTATTTGTCAGTTTCTCTCCACAGTACTGAATAATAACTTACATGTGTGCAAGAACCATACTGATATTTTGGCACAAGGACTGTGAATAACCCCTTTCATTGTCTTTGCTCACAGAAAATATAAATGTAATGAAATATCAGCTCTTCTTACAGGAATAGCAGTTGTATGTTTGAACCAATCTGGCATCACCATTTTACGCTCAGTTCCCTGGAACACACTGCGCCAAACCATTTTATTTATTTTTGCGCAGTTATGTGCCTCACAATCTAAAAAGGATGTGAAAGTCCTTGGATGCATCCAGAGCAGGGCAACAACCCTGGTGAAAGGCCTGAAAGGCATTTCCTGCAACATATCCATGCTAAGGACTCTGGGCTTGTTTAGTTTAGAGAAAAGGAGGCTGAAAGGGCAACCTCACTGTTATCTGCAGCTTCCTGAGGAAGACAAGCGGAGAGGGAGGTGCTGAGGTCTTCTCCAGGGTATCCAGTAATATGATGTGTGGAAATGGTTCAAAGCTGCACCAGGGGAGGTTTAGGGTAGACAGACATGAGGAAGCATTTCTTTACTGAGAGGGTGGTCAAACCCTGGAACAGCCTTCCTAGAGATGGTCAATACCCCAGGTCTGTAAGTATTGAAGAGGCATTTGGACAATGCCCTTAATAACATGCTTTAACTTTTGGTCAGCCCTGAATTGGTCAGGCAGTTAGACTAGATGATTGTTTTCGGTTCCCTCCAACTGAAATACGCTAGTCTATTCTATAGAAGCATAGAATGGTTTGGGTTGGAAGGGACCAGACAGTGAAAAATGACTGTTGAGTTTTAACCAGCAGCCCTAGAGTTTTTTTCTTTACAAAAAAACCAATCTTTTACAATGAGGGTGGTGAGAGATTGGAACAGGCTGCCCAGAAAGTTGAGGATGCCCCATCACTGGAAGTGTTCAGTGTCAGACTGGATGGGACTATGGGCAACTTGGCCTAATGAACGATGTCCCTGCCTGTGGCAGGAGAGCTGGACTAGATGATCAAACTGATAATGCTCTATTTGATTGTTATTTTTTAAAAGCCCAATGTGTGGGAAACAACCATGGGGAGCTTCTGAATTTTTCTGATTTGTTTGCTGGACTGAAAAAGTCAACTAACTGTACAATTTGAACTGTCACTACTGCAGAAAATTTCTTTCTCTAATTTTGGTAGTTTTAAATAATATTAGTTTATTTCTTAAATGCAAATCTACATTAAAATTGTATTAGTAACTTTTACTTTCCTTATTTAAACAAAGATTTTGCTTTGCTGACCCTCTACTGGAAATCAGTCACAGGAAATCTAATGTAAATGTACCTCCAAATAATTGCCAGAAACAGCATAATGTATTGGCAAAATACCATCCAGACTTCTGCTGTTAACATTCGCACCGGCTTTCAGTAATTCTAAGATCACTTCAGTAAATCCGCTATTGGAAGCTTCATGAATTGCTGTCCAACCTAATAAAAGCAAGATGACACATACAGCATGCACCTGATTTGGAAAACTCCACATAGATCACTAATTAATGATTACACATTTTGCTGCATGTGCTGTACTGTAAGCAACAGACTACTCTTTTTAGGACAAATATTATACAACCATCTTCAAATGCCAAGGTAAATTTGTAATTCTGTTTACTTTAGAGAAAAATGCATCCAATATTAAGCAGAAAAATACTGTTTACTTTTCTACTACACTGCTAAAAATAATGAAAAAGCCCAACAGAGTAGAAGATTCCAAAAATTCAGAAGCATAGTATTAATAGTCTGATTTCTAATGCCACTGCAATTTTACAACATCAAGTCAGCCAGGCATCCAGAATAGAATACCATCCATTCTGAGACTATAAAACCAGAAAGGCATTATACATGCAGGTAGAAAAAAGAAGAAATGATCTTGTAATCTGATTTTTGTCCTTGTTTCCTAAGGAAGTAAAACTTGTGTGAATGTGCTTCACACATGTATATATTCATGTATGTCAGCATTAATTCTCCCACCAAACTTTCAAGTTCACTTTCCACATACATCTCTGAAGATATGGTCTTCAGCAGAGGAGGAAGACACGATTAATGCCCCTGCTGAGAAAAAGGCTGCATTACCTGCATGCTAAGACACAAAATCCAGGGATTCACTTACTGTGCTTGCACTTGCTGAATGACTTCCTTTCCTCCTCACAATTATATTTTAAATCAAGAGTCCATAATTATATTAAAATTACACAAATTATGTAAAACCATATATACTATAAATTATATAGAACTGTACCATAAAACAAGCCCATCAGAATTTTCAAACCTGCGGCGTCCTGTTCATTGACAGAAATTCCAGATGATATTAGCGTTTTCACCAAAGACAAATTTCCTCTCCTAGCAGCAACATGCAGCTGAGTTTCCCCTTTTGCAGTTCTCTTATTTGTTAACTTTCTCCCAGCTCCTATAATTTCATAATGTAAAATTATAGCTTCTTTTCTGGTAGATAGGGAGGATTCTAAACACATATTGGGTGTTCATTAAGAACAACAAAAAACATTTCATTATAAACAAACAATTAAGCTTCATAACTCATATGAATGAATGTAAATGTGTGCAGTACAGTTGCCTTAGTTATTCAACAACATTAATTCACTGTAACAAAAGGTTAGAAGACACTGCTTAACAGTACGTTGTCAGCTGCTTCAGATAACAAACAGACCCTATGGGAAAGCATTTACAGTTCAGTTCTAGGTGACTTAACAGGGATCCAGTGAATTAGGGATCAACCAAAAAGGTAACAAGGATGAACTTTTATATTGTATAGAGGTAGGGAGTATGATACATTTCTCCATGGGCTGCTTTAAAGTTACCAGACACGGCTGCTAAATATATAAAATGCTTTCATGAAGCTATTTAAGAAACTATATAAAAGTGAAGATTTGACCATTGCCTCTTTTTCATTCCTAAGTCTGTATCAGGGAAGAAACAGGTTTCTAGATAAGGTATTTTTACACTTGTGAGTGCAAATGTCCTATAAACTAATTACAAATCTTTGTCAATGCCTAGTGACACAGCTGAAGTGCCTTTTAATAACACATGTGCAGCATTGGACACATAACTGCAAATAACCTTGATTTAATTCTTTTCCTGTTGGTTTACAAATCAAACAACATGCACGTTATATTTTCACATGTGATCGTCAGACACATCCTAAAGCTGAGGCTCCTGATAACAGACATATTGAATGGGAAGAGATACAAAGAAAAAAACAGGTTTTAAAAGTTCTGATTCTGCATATAAAGACAAGCTCCTCCCTGAACTGCTACCAAAAAGACAGTGTGTGTGAATCTTCCAAAGATATAGCATGCATGTTAGCTTTTTTAAAATTCCTATTCCTGCTGTTGCAATACTGTGCTATCAGGTTTTTTTAAAAGTTCATGGTGTTCTTTTTCCAATTTCTTGAAAATCTGTAATTTGTCCAAAAAAAAGGAAAAGTGTAAGGTTTCAAATAAGCAACTCTTGTACATGTTTTCTTAATTTTTCCTATGAACAATTAGTGCTGTATTCCAAGCATTTCCTCTTCTTATCAGACAAGCTGTCTTCTCAAATATTTTCAGTTATCATTATCTATTGCTATAAAATATCTTCCATGATTTGACAGCTGCTTTTCTTCAGGCTCCTCCTGCCTTCTGGAAAATTTGATTTTCCAAGGTTTCCTTTAAGGTAAACTACTGAACTTGTAATCCAAGTCTGTTTGGAAAAACATGAAAGACATACTGCAACTACAGTGAAGACAGATACATAGCGTGGATATATGCATACCAATTTTAAACTAGATTGTTCAGCCAATGTGGCAGACATACTATGGGAGAAAAGGAGCTCAACATAGGGTATTTTAACCTGTCAGAAAGCATTCAGGAAGTCCTTTGTGCACTGGGGATGCTTGGCTCACAGAGCCTGGCAACCAGAAGAGCTAAAGTGTTTCATTTTTTCTAAATGAAAACTGAGATTCTAGAGCACATAGAAGTGTCACATTACTGAAATACTCCTCCAATCTGAGACCTACTTTTCTGTAAAATAAGGTATTGTGTTTTGTCTAAAAGCTTCTGGGTATGAACTCCCAAAGCAATCGTCTGCTTTCTGGTTCTTCCTTTTCTTCCCCTTTGATTAATAGGAGTATGTCCTAAGGACTTTTTAGAGATGAAGGAAATAAAAAAAGGTGCACAACAGACCATTAAGCTAATGACCCTTAGCAATATTGGCTGCAAGTGAACAGAAATAATTGCAAAGTTTTCCAGTTAAGTTGTCGTGCACAACTTTTTTTTGTGGTTGCTATGAAACATTTGCAAAAGTATAACGGGACATTGGTATGTGAATCACAAAATACTGGTTCTCCATGGAATGCATTGTCAGGTGGGTCATAAGCAGGAAAGATCAGGTACTTGGCAAATACAAAATCCAGTCAGAGAGAGGTATAAAGATTAAATGGAGAGATTACAGTAACCAGCAATCAGATTAGATTAGGCTGCCACACCTCAACAACTTCAAGGACATCCTCCTTCAAAAAAGACATTTGAACTTTGGTCAATGAGCAACTCCTTCCACAAATTGAACTGTCAGATAAGAAGTGAGCTGTTTGTACCTTCCTTCTGGATAAACAGATTAGGAATGTTGGGAGCCTAGTGTGGTTGGGAGCTGAAGTGACTGACTGTAGATGAAACTGACAATGTGTCATTTAGGAAGAAAAGGTTTTTATTGAAGAACAGAATAGTATCAGGAAGACCACTAGGACACAGAAACAATCAGATAAGATACAAAAGCCACTTAATGAAGAAAAAGCATGAGACAGCAAAAAAATCTGAAAACCCCACAATGTCAGAAAATATCCCATATTCCATTTTTTTTCTGCTGCAATCTGAATGCCATTGTCCCAGTCTCCAAAGCTATTAATGCTTTCAACTGCACAGAGAGCTACGCTTTCTCGCACCAGCTCTCAAACCACCACATACTCCTGGGATGAAGGAAATAATTCAATTTTAGATAAATCTCTTACGAATCTCTTTGGGGGAAAAATTAATCTGTGAAATGAAGTTCCAGAGGTAACCAGAATGTTAGACACATGTATGGAATAAAGCTTATCAAAATTGGAGGCAAAAAATATAAAGGAAAAAATTAAAAACATGTATTAATGCACATGGACCTTAGAAAGATTAAGCAGGAATATAAGAGCTATAAAAAGAATTGCTGAAAGGAAAGGAATCATTTCTATGTTGAATGTTTATTCTTCCAATCTGGAAATTGGTTGGAAAATTCCAACACTGCCAGGTATTGGAGAGCACTAGGTAACATGAAGTGCCTACTCCTTTCTTTCTTTCTTTTCAAAAAGAAAATACAAGCTTCCAGGCCAAAAACTCAAGATAGCAGTAACTAAAGATGGGTTGAAAGTTCACAAATACCTGAGACTGAAAAAGGAAACAGCATTCTGTACAGCTGCATGTGGAAAAGATAAGAAGACTGTGACTATCAAAGAGAAAGAAAAGGATCAGTATGATCCTGAATGTTTCTTCTCATGTATTACATGACATTGCATAGACTGGCTGATGACTCCTTAATTCAACTTATAAGACTCGTGAGGATCCAAAGTCCCCAAAGAGAAGGAGAGTAACTAAGCAAACAACAAAAAGAGATCAACAACTATGTTGACAGTATGTGTGTGGATGTATTCGCCCATGCTCTGTGTGTGTATGGGTGAGCAAGTATATTTGTTACATGTATTAAGTAGGCATGCTGTTATGTACTCTGGTTTTAAAAGCATTTTGTGGACATAGGAGCATGAATGCCATTGATTTTCAAAATATATACAATATACTCAATGGCAGCAGTTTCCCACTTAAGACAACTTCAGTTCGACCAACAGACCCCAGCAATACATAACTGCTGTCCAAGGAAGAAAATTATTTTATTATTATTTTATTATTATTTATTATTTGGGAAAAGTAAATCGAACGCTATATCCACACACAAATACACAGGCATTCATACATGCTTCTATAAACCTACAGATATAAAAAAAAACTTTTCCTATGTATGTGTATACAAAGCATACATTTACACTGACACAGTAGTTATTCAAAAGGCAAAGTTTCACAGAGCTAGAAGTAAGTTTGAAGAAAAAAAAAAGCCAGCAGAAAAATATGAATAATAGCTAGGAAGTATTTCATAACGTACCACACGTTCAACATGAACACCTGCACTGATTAAAAAACTAACCTGGTGTATGAAGGGAATTAGGAAGCAACAGTAAATGCAAAATTAAAAATGGGAAGTGAATGGTAATAAGAATAAATAAGCAGTTGTAGAAAATGGCTGTGGGAAACAAAAGAATACAGGGAGATAGTCACGGACAGCTAAGATCCTAAGAAGGCAGATTTAAAATCTATCAAACCCAGAAAAAATTATTCCCAAATTCCTAATTACAAGACAGAAACCATAGAATTATCTAAGACAATCAGAAAATAACCGAAGTACACAAGATCACTGCCAGCTTTACTGAAAAAGCAGTATGGGGCTATGATGAGCAATCAGTTGTAAATGAGCAATCAGGGCCCTATTGTGACAGTAAGGCTACAAGATAAATGCTCATCTTAGACATGAGATGAAACTGCTAAACAGAAAACAACAGGTTGCAGGCAGAAATAAATATAACCACTGGAGGTTGCTAGATCCTTATCCTCACATAAGTAGATTTGTTTCTATACTACAACTAAAACCAATTGTAACAGTACACTTAGCACCTACGCTGATTTGTGCCTGATGACGATGTAGTCTATAAAATATAATTTGGTACATATTCCAAATATACAGAGCCAGGTTTTCTGCCTTGATCTGTGATATGTATAATAGTTCACTGAGGACCAATTTAGTGTTATTTTAAACTATCGTTTATATAACATAGTTAAGTAAGGATCAATTTAATGCTATTTTAAAGCTCTTGATTATGAGCCTGCATCCCCTCAACCACAATCCTGAAAGATTGATGAATGTAACAATAAAACAGAATGAATACATGCATTCTATAAAATGAAGGACTGAACTCCCTGAGTATTTGCTTAACATGCTACATAATTTTTCCAAACTTTCCCTTATGTATTACAAAAAAGCTTTCTTCATGTATGTCTGAAAGAAACCTCCACTATTTTTACAAAATACTATTAACTTTTCACCTGATTTCTTGGATGTCTGCTGTTCTGCTGCTTGACTGAATTGTGATTGCTTAGATGAAAGGTTTGTTTTGCTGCTACTGGAATATGAGGCTGCTTTTTTGTTTGTCTCCCGAGGGTCTAATCTTATTCTTTTACTTTGGATTCCTGTTTCAGTAAACTCCAAAAGCATGCTGATCTTCGCGTTTACTTTGTCTCCATTCTTTTCAGAGCCTTTTGTCCCACTCATTCGAGCAAACACTTCATCTGTTGGTTTAACAAAAGAATTTACAAGTAACTATGGCATAACACTCATCAATTTCAGAAATTGTAACTGATATTAAAATGAATGTCAAAATTATCATCTAGTAGTAGATTAAAAATGCCTGCAATAACTCACTCCATTTTGAAAATACTTCAACATAATAAATCCTTTATCCACTAGTCATCATATGTTAACATACTGAGACTGAATACAAAACAATTCAAAGATTTTTTTTGTGAAAATATGACTTTTACTGATTCTTAGATAGTAAAGGAAGAAGGTATTTTAGAATTTCCTCTTAGTTATTCTAATGACCATTGTGCTCACATTTTAGTAAATACAATAAAGACTTGGATATAAAACAATCAAGAAAATTCAAAGCAAAAATTGCTAACTAGTTAATCTGGCATAACTGTACCACAAGACATTCCATGTGTCTGCTATTTATTAATGGCAAAACAAAGTCTCTGGGGACCAACAGCTAGGTTTTTATAATAAAATACACAGAATGCTCACAGCAAACTCATAAAAAAATTATTTTCAAATAAAACATTGTACCTGTTTTCTGGGAGGTTTCTTTCTGCATGTTTTCCACAATCTGAACTGAGCAAGAAGACCTGCTATCTGCATTAACACCAAAATGCAAATCTGCTTTTGAACTGGTCTCATGAGGTCTCTTTTGAATAATTTGAAGTGTGTCCTTTTCAAGGAGTTGTAAAACTATAGGCTCAATCTCTAAAGTACTAACATTTTCAGTATCAATGCGGCATCCTTCAACACTTTCTTCTGCATTAAACAGGATCCTTCCTCCTCCCTCTGATTGTGAAGCCTTCGGTTCAGCATTGCTTAGTACACTACTGGCAGAATTATAAGAATTTCCAGAAACACTTCCTCCATTAGTAGCTGCTAAACACTCTTGAGCTAACAGTGTTTCATCATTTGCTTGAACTTTCTGTTCAGTACAACTGGTTCCATCTCCAGATATATCAGTATAAATGTTTTGAACCTCATTTACAATAGTCTGTTGCAATATGTCCCTGCTGTCCGAATGCAGACAATTTGCACATGCTGGCTCTGACTCATCTGTCTGTAAGGAAATTTTCTCAAACAAAGACAAAGAGAGTTTTAAATTTAGAGCTTATCCATTAATTTTGTTTCCATCAACATCAGAATTAACTTGTCAAGTTTTGCAAAGAAATAAACCATTCTGAAATTACACATTCACAAGAAGTTGCAAGTTGCTCAGTTTAAAAAAAAACAACAAACAAACAACTGCTATAAAACAGTGGTTGAGCAGCACAAGTTTATTCACAAGTCTTTGGCAAGATAAATTATCTAAGTAATCTAAATTTATTTGGTAAAATTAAGAAATTTAAAAAAGAAAGAATGGAAATTTTATCAAAAGCAATATAGCATTAGCTCTGGTTCTAAATTGAGGGGGTTTTGTTTGTGTATTGAAGGAAATTAAGAACAGGTTGGATGGGGCTTTGACCAACCTCGTCAGTGGACTGGAAGGCGTCCCAGCCCATGGCGGGGGGGGTGAGAACTAGATGATCTTTAAGGTCCCTTCCAACCCAAACCATTCTATGATTCTATTATCAGATCGGTATTTAGATTCCTGTCACTCAAACTACTACTGTTACTCTGCTTGAGACTATGTTTATCACTGTCATAACTCTTGACTACCTGCAGTAACTTTAGAACAGGTACATTGTGAGAGGAAGTCAAAGCAAGTTTTGACTGAAAATCAAGTTCTGCTAAATCAGCAGTCTGAGAATGCTGTTCAGACACTTTTTTTCCAGAAACCACTGATGTGGGGCAGTGTAACCTGATAATCTCCTCCCCTGTTACAACAGAAGTCACTGAACCTTCACCAGTTCTACCCTGTTCTTCTGTAAAGAGATGTTCATTGTCACCAGTATTGAATTCGTGTTCCTGTTGCGATTTTGTCTCACTTAGCTCATTTTTCCTACAGATTAACTGGGATACAACAGTTATGATGAGAAATGTCAAGACTGTGGCCTGTTTCATTATGTCCAGCATCAGGGAAATAAATTTTCTGCAATTTAACTGTTCCTTGGTTTGTACTTGGATACATGAGGTCCCTCTAACATGAGACACTATTTGTGAATAGTTTAACGCTTGGCTGTAGTCTCTGCTGTAACAATAGCAGATCTGCCCTTTTTAAACTTTTTTTTTTTTTTTTTCCCATTTGGTTTCTACCTTCAGAATCGTAAAGAACTTTATTGGTTTTATATTTCACCAAATTTGTTTTTCTGCTTTGCTCATTTTTAGCAGAACTTCCTTTGATGCTTTAGTATTATCACAGAATCACAGAATAGTTAAGGTTGGAAAGGACCTTAAGATAACCTAGTTCCAAACCCCTGCCATGGGCAGGGACACCTCACACTAAACCATGTCACCCAAGGCTCTGTCCAACCTGGCCTTGAACACCACAAGGAATGGAGCATTCACAACTTCCTTGGGCAACCCATTCCAGTGCCTCACCACCCTCACAGTAAAGAACTTCTTCCTTATATCCAATGTAAACTTCCCCTGTTTAAGTTTTAACCAGTTACCCCTTGTCCTATCACTACAGTCCCTAATGAAGAGTCCCTCCATCACACTGAATCTGTATTTAATTCTATCTACAAAACAGGCCATATACTTAATTTCATTTTCTAATAAATTGCTTTATTATATTCTAAAACTGTGCTATTATAAAATTAACTGATTTCCTCTGTCTATGTAACTTCCTAAGACAGCAGGACAAGGAAATTAAGCAACTAAGAAATATGAGTATAAAAGGGTAAAAATTAATGTGTGAAATCCAATAATAAATGTTACTGCTTTACACTTCTATTTATTTCTGAAAATTGGACCAATTTCAAATTAATGCTCTGCCTTTAAAGAATTAAAACTACATTGCCTCTCTGGTCGTACACCAGGTTCATATTGCTGGCAAACCTATCTACAATGATTCTAGGAAATCATAAAGAAAGTGAAATAACACAGCAAAACCCTGCAGAATTAACTCATGGCAATCTCAGAAGAAAACTGCTCCAAAGGCCAATGATTACATAGAATTATCCTGTTGATTACTTCGTATCTGGAGATAGAACCAGAACATAAACACTTCAACAGCTCACAGAACTACTGAAATCATCAGTTACACAGCCACAGCAATAGGACTCCCAATTAAATGTTTACAACACCTTCTTCATCAATCAACTAATGTTTCAAATTGTAATCTAAGTCTATACACCAGGAATAATCTTACAACATTTCTAAGGACACTGTAGGCTGCATTACTAAGAATAACAAGGACAGTTTTCATTACTACAGAAAATTTCAGAAAGCAAGAATTAAGTGACTGTGCACACTTGCACACTACATTATATGCTTCAGATATTACCAGGTATCATTGTTCAAAGAAGAGAAAATGAGAAGAGTACAGCTTTTAATGCAAAAAAACTGTTGTGCTATATGCAAACAAACTATGACTCATGTGACTGATCATAGTGTCTTGTCTTCCTGTGAGGCACTAGCTCACACACAGGTCTCACGGCGCAACTGTGAAACCCCTCTGCAAGAACAGTGGCTCCCTAATCTTTTCCTGTTGAAATCCAACACAACCTACTACACAGAGACAAGCTGCAGCTATACTACTGCTTCAAGACAGGCAACATCTTGCAGTTTCAGTCAGGTTTCTGCAAGTACCAGGAGGCACTGACATACTATGCTTACTGTAAATTACCTCTGCAACACCCTCAAAAACTCAGCAAGAACCAATGTCCATGAGAGGCAGCTTATGGTCTCTGCTTTGCATTTTCATAAGGCTGCAGCTTATCCCAAATACAAGTGAGGATCATCAACTGCTTGCCAAATAATTCATGTAGCACTGAATATCACTCTGTTTCAGCCCCACTGGGTATGAAGCATCTAGTACATTATGTGCTAATTTCAAAACACATTTGAGAAACAGTCATCTCCTTTAGTTTACTGAAGACTGCTAGCAAGCCACTAACAGTTCAGCTGTTCAAATTGACAGTTCAACAGTTCAAACTGACATCAGGATTCTTTGTAAAGATGTACCTGATGCAGGTTTGTATCCTCTACACTTTCAGCATTTAACATATTCTTTGGATCATCTCCACCTGAAATGAAATATGGAAAGAAACCAGAATTGAAAAGACTAATTCTTTACTTTACATATGTACCATCTTGTGTCCACAGTCCTGTGTGTAACTTAGCACATTTAGTTATCAAAAAAAAAAAAAATCAAGCTGTAAAGGTTCTATTAGAACCTAAAAGGTCAGGGAAAGGTACAAAGAAGTGCCACAAGATGAGTCTTGATTAGAAAAGACTGTTGGATACCAGTGGGTCAGTGTGGGCTGTGACAGGTTTAAGTCTAAAAGGAATCCCCAGCCCTCAGACTATTACACACTATTGCTCTTCCATGTGGGTGGTTATGAAGCTGCAATGTATCATACCAGGGCCCTGGGACAGTTGGTAGGGGAACTTGGTGCACAGGTAGATTTCCCCTTTATCCTTCCAGTTGTGGGCAGTGACACTGGAAGAAACAGATGAACTCAGTTTATTAATACATGGCCCTGTTGCTGGTGTCACTGCCGCAGTTTTAGTTTTTTTGATAATGGGATGGTCTGCATGGCAGCAGGCCTGCCAGTGTCAGATGGACCTTTGTCAAAGCAGTACGGGGGTCTTTGCTCATGAGCTAGTGGGGCTCACTGACAACTTTAAATTAGACTTGATAGGGGAGTGGGATAGTATCAGATTTGCCCATGAGAAGCTGTAGGATGTCACACCAAGGTTAGAGGGATGGGCCTCCCCCTGCTGCTCTGACATGCGCTGAATACAATGGAGCACACCTGAAGTCTTACAGAGATGAGCCAGGGGCTCCTGAGGTAATAGGAGCCAACAGGGAAACACTGGGGAAATACCTTAGGGGAATTAAAGTGTGTTCCTCTAAAAAGGTTACACAGCCAATAGCGCAGCTGAAGTGCCTCTATACAAAGCACAAGCAACAAAAAGGTGGAGTTGAAACCTACTGTGCTGCCAGAAAGCTATGACCTAGTTGCCATTACTGAAACTTGGTGGTATAAATACTACAACTGGAGTGTGGCTACTGATGGCTACAAGTTGTTCAGAATGGACAGGTGAGGAATGAGGGGTGGAAGGGATGCCCTGGGTTCTGAAGAATAGCCAGAAGCAGGTTGAAAGTTTACGGGTAAGAATTCAAGTCCAGTGAAACAAATGGAACCTTGTGTATGTTGTTTATGCCACAAAATCAAGAGGAGCCTATTGACAAAGCCTTTGTATTCCAGCTACAGGAGGGATAACACTCACAAGCCCTCACCCTGCTGGAGGACTTCAGACACCCTGGCATCCGCTGAAAAAGCAGAGTAGCGAGATGTAGGCAATCCAGTAGATTCCTGGAGTGCACTGAGGATAACTTTCTCAGCCAAGTAATAGGTCTACCAGGGAGCATGCAGTACTGCATCTGATGGTCATCAACACAAGTGAGCTAATCAGTAATGTCAAGATTGGAGGCAGCCTGGGTTGCAGAGGTGGAGTGACCATGTACTGGCAGTTCGCAGTCCTGGGGGATAAGGGTCAAGAGAAGTGTAAAGTCAGGACTCTTACATTTTAGGAAAGAAAAATTCTAGCTGTTCAAGGAGTTAGTCAGTATGACTAACCTCAGGAAACTGCCTTTGAGGACAAAGGAGCAGAACACAGCTGGCAGAACTTTAAGCATGCTTTCCATAGTGCACAAGAGCTCACAATTCCCAGGTGTAAGAAATCAAGGAGGGATGGCAAGAGACCAGCATGGATAAGTCAAGACCTGCTGGTCAAACTAGAAGGCAAAAAGGAGCTGCACAGGCAGCAGATGAAATGACAGGTATTCTCAGAAGAGCACAGGGACACTGCCTGGTTGTGTAGGCGGTCTCTTCTGAACCTTCTTCTCAACTTAGTTCCTAAGACTGTACAAAATCAAACTCTCTCCTTAACCAAAATGTTCACCTACCAACCCCTCACAAAATCATTAGCTATTACCTACAGCAATATTACTCTTGTCCCAGTCCTAAGACTAGCACTTAAGGATAAGCAGTTAAGGCTTGGCAACACCCAAGATCTTGATCTAATCCTATATCCATTTTTTACTTTATGGATCCTTCAAAATTCAGCCTCTATAACAGTTTAGAACCAAATTTTATCTCTACCTGTAAAGCCATACCTCAACAATCAACAAGTCACCATTTTACATTTAGATAGATAACAGCTATTGTGCTTGATATCTTCATTTCAAATTTTAAGGTAGTTCCAGCCCAAGAAAAAGCTCTACATCTTTATCTGTTTTACTTTGCCAATGTACAGCAACTGTTCTGGGTAACGAGCGCTCACCGGTACTCAGGCATGAGACAGTAAAGCCCATGAAACTACTAGAAGTAATTAAGTAAATACAGTGCAACAGTTGTTCTGAATTTCTCCATTTAGAATGTGGTATTGAGAATAACTCTATCCTACCTGCTACTGAATTTATTCTGTATTTTGCTACACAGCTTTTAAGCAGTTTCCTCATAGCTGGGTCAGAAGCTTCTTCCAATGCGCATTTTCCCATCTCATTTTTTAATAAGGGATCAGCTCCATAAAAAAGTAATAACTTTGCCATCTGGAAAAGGATTTTTTTCAGGTTGTTTATTTTCTGACAGTATTTTCCATACTTCTTCCTTATAAGGGCTTATCTCTCTTGCTGCTCGACAACATGAGCAACTAAAACCAAATCTAAGGCCTAGGACAAATAATCCCTCCCTATTCTAGTTAACAGACCCCCAAGCATTCCCCTAGATGCACCATTATCTTATCATCTTACTATTTTCATGTTTAAAAATTCATTCCAGTTTTTAATCTGAAGTTTTCTCAATACATACATGCTAAGAACAGATCAAATAAAAAAGTGTTCAATCCACAGCAAAATCCCTATTAGGCTTCACAGGTTGTCTCAAATCTCGATTTTTTTCAATAAGTAATGTTGAGAACTCTTCCTCCTTAATGAGATCTTTAGCTACACATCACACTTATATGCTCTCCCCCTTAACTATACTATTAGAAAGTCTCTCATACACTTACGAATTTTCTGAAATAAGAAATTAATTTTGCCATATTGTAGGTGCAGAAACAAAGCAGTCAAAAGGTGTATTTCCAGTATACAGTAATAACTTTACTCATAGAAGGCAGCATTGAAAAAAACAGTTCCAAATACCATGTTACCAACAGCTGTATTACTGAATCACTATCACTATTTTGTTGCTAGTCAGAAGCAATAAAAATTAAGTCTGACAGACCACTGCAGTGATACAGCTATACTGGTTCTGAGGAAATATAGTGCCACCATGTACTACCATTCCCTGTGGATATACCAGCTCATATAACTGTAACACAGCTCTGTGTTGAATGATGTTGGTGCACCCCAAGTGACACAGCTGAGACCAGTGTAAGGACAAAACTTACTACACCCCATCAAAAAAAAAAACTAACAAAAAAAAAAACCTAAAAAATCTTGGAAATTGGTAAGTATTAGGCAGCATATGAGCACTTCTAGTGCAAGAAACAGCAAGCAGGTGAAAGGGACATGTAGAACTCCTACATAAATCTAGGCCACCCGAGGAACCTCCACAGATAGGCAGAGGCAAACAGGGACAGTCTGAAAGAGGATCCACAATGCAGACACACGCTTATGAAACCACAGCATTTGGCAACAAAACTCATACTTAATTCAAATTGACTATTCAGTTGACTTCATGTTTAAGACCATACAAAATACAAAGTCATGCCTTCATAACTCTCCATACTATGTGATAATAGACAAAACATGTCTGTGCATGGCTGTGGCTGCATACCATACATGCATGTTTATCAAATAATGAAAAAGTAATTAAAACTTCAGAGGACTGCTCAGGTCATAAATTATTCTGTAAGGTGATTACAGAACAAGTGAAATACTATTAAACAGGAACAATCTATTCCTCAGTGCTTCACCTGTTGTCCCAGACAGTTAGAAAACCAATTGATTTCAGCTTTTGGACAAATCTTGTAAAGCACGGAATGGTTTGAACAGAAATTGGGCAGAAAGGACTTGCAAGCTCCTGAATTTATCCATAATCTGAAAAGATCAGCTACGTGTAAAAAGATTACGTGACCTTTTAAGCCCATCAACAATAATTTATACCCCTAAACCATAATTCGTGTTCAGTTTGGAATATACCTCATAATGGCCCTCCTTAGCTGCATCTTGCAATGGTGTTACTTGTTCATATCCTCTAGCATCAACATCAGCTCCTGCTTTCAAAAGCTCATTTGCAATCCTGTAGGAGCCTTCCACACTTGCTGTATGTAGTGCAGTCCAGCCTACAAAAAAAAAAACTGTATTTCATATTTGTGTGAAATAATTTATACAAATTTATGGCAGTTTTAGGTTGTCTATTTGATAAATATTTGAGAGAGTATACTGAAAAAGTAAAAACTGTTGTAGGAAGACATGTTTATGAAAAAGTCACAAGGTTTGGTAGATCTCATTCTTTTGTTAAAATTTGCACTTACTGAAGAATCACATGCTGCTGTAACAATATTAGTTTTAGATTTGACAGTTTTGTTATGAAAGAAGAGAATAAAAATTATTTCACCCACATCTTAGCAATTTCTCCCCCAATAAAACATAAGTTCTAAGAAAAGGGAATTTTTTTTGATAGCACCCTTTTATTTACATATTTTTCATTGCTGAAGAGGGTAACTGAGACAAAATAATGACCTGGACTCTTTACTGTCAAACAAAAATGTTTTCTAAGTCTACCCAAGAACAGTATGAGTGCCCAAAGAAAGCAATGAAAAATCCTTACTGAAATTCCATATCCATTCCCAGCTATATATAATAAGCCAAGATACGAGCTTCATGACACACACAACAATTCTACTCCATGAAGGATGGAGTGGATGGATGGATAAAAGATGTAATGTAAGCCTCTGAACTGGGTTATCATAGACTTGCACCAGCTCCTTAAACATTCACTATGTGACAGTTTTTTGTATGGTGAGAAAAGGGGAAAAGACAGAAAATTTTCTACGTCCTACCTTCCAGCTCTCAAACCACCATGCCCTCCAGAAGACCATTTTGATTGGCAGACTTACTCTTCAATCATCTCCCATCATCAGAAGGTTGTCTGGGCCTAATTCACATACTAAATATGTTAATTAGTACGTGAATCTGGCTTATTAAGACTGTTTTGCTCCCACTGTGCAAAATTATCTTAATTTCATTGGAAAGTGAAACTCCTGAGGATTGTTTATACACCACCCAACTCAGAATATTGTATATATGTATAGAATTGCGTTTGTTATGGCCACAGGATGTTGCACCAAGTTGTTAAAAAATCTTGTGCTTTTAGGCTTTGTTCCCAAATGCTTGAAACTCGACTAAATTTTAACTACATTGCTTAATGCTGACAGTGCTTCAAGATGAATGGTTTTATAACCGTATAATCTGTAAAACACTTAACTTCCATTTTACAGAGTCTATTTCATTAAAAAACTCTACCAACTCTATGCTCCAGAGCAAAAGCTTGGTATGTGTTAAGCAAAGAATAAAAAAGTTTCACTTAGAAGAAAATACGTATTTCTTCTTCAGTAAAAAAACTATCCTATGTCTGAGATAATAAACTGAAAAACTGAACCTGCAACATGTACAACTGATAGAGTTTAGCAACATCATTCTCTGAGGATACTTTGCGTGCTCCAGACAAAGGCAAAACACAAGTTTCATTGCAACTGTTTTTCAGCTCCCTTAAGTCACTGTGAATTACAACTCAAACTGAGAGCACAGACAGTATGTCCTCCATGTTGTCCATATCCTATGTGCTGATGTCTAGGAAATAAAACAGAGGGAAAAAAACCAACCCAACCCAAAACACAAAAGAACCCAAGAACTCCGTAAGTTACTGTAGCACAAGAATAAGGAAAAATACGAGGCTAAGATATGCACAATCACTGGTGGAGTACTTTCAAGGAAGAGAAAAGGCACAGAAGCAGAATATAATGATCAGAACAATGATTCACAAAGAGCCCATGATGAAAGTACATTTCAAAGTGGCACAGGTCTGGCAACTCCTGAAGGTATACAAGTCTGTGAGACCTGACAAGATGCCTCCATGGGTCTTGTGGGAACCGGTGGATGTAGTCGCCAAGCCATCTTCTATCATATTTGAGAAACTGTGGCAGTCTGGTGAAGTTCCTGCTGATTGGAAAAGGGGAAATATAACCCCCATTTTGAAAAAAAAGTTAAAAAAAAAAAGTTAAAAATGAACACTCAGAGAACTACAGGCTGGTCAGCCTCACCTCAGTGCCCAGCAAGATCATGAAGTAGATCCTCATGGAAACTACATTAAGGTTTATGGACAATAAGAGGGCAATCGGTGACAGTCAACATGGTTCTACTAAGAGCAAATCATACCTGAACATTTGGTGGCATTCTATGGAATTACTGGATAAGGAAAGAGAGACTGACATCATCTACCTGGATGTGCAAGGCATTTCACACTGTCCTGCACAGCATCCTTGTCTCTAAATTGGAGAGGCATGGATTTGATGGATGGAGCACCCAGTAGATAAAGAATTGGCTGGATGGTCGCACTCAAAGAGTTATGGTCAACAGCTCAATGTCCAAGTGGAGATCAGTGATGAGTGGTATTCCTCAGGGGTCGGTACTGAACTGGTGCTTTTCAGCATCTTTGTTGGTAACATGGACACTGGGATTGAGTGCACCCTCGGCCAGTTTGCCGATGACACCAAGCCGTGTGGTTCAGTTGATACACTGAAGGGAAGTGATGGGATACAGAGGGACCCTGACAGGCTTAAGAAACGGGCCAATGCCAACCTCATGAAGTTCAACAAGGCCAAGTGAATGGTCCTGCACCTGGGTTGGGAAAATCCCAGGCACAACTTCAGACTGGGCATGGACTGGATTGACAGCAGCCCTGAGGAGATGGACTTGGGGGTGCTGGTTGACAAGAAGCTCAACACGACCCAGCAACATGCACTTGCAGCCCAGAAAGCCAACCATATGTTGGGCTGCAGCAAAAGGAGCGTGACATTAGGGAGAAACGAGGGTGGTGAAACACCAAAACAGGTTGCCTAGAAAAGCTGTGGCTGCCCTATCCCTGGCAGTGTTCAAAGCCAGGCTTGATGGTACTTTGACCAACCTGGTCTAGTGGAAGGTGTCCCCTGCCTGTGGCAGAAGGGTTGGAAGCAGATGAGCTTTAAGGTCCTTTCCAACACAAACCATTCTATGATTCTATGGTTCTGTACTTCTTTCTGACTACACCTTCTATACTAACAAAAGAAGTCGGGCTAGGTCAGCCTCTCACCTTTTCAAGGAGTTCAACTAAAACAAATTTTGCGCAGTTGTGCTCCTTTTGCACCAAAAAGTAACTGCCAGAGTCTGGGCAATGAAGAAAAAGTGGTCTGGCAAAATGTGCAAAGGCAAAAAAGGAAGTATCTGTGAGGCCAAAAACTGAAACCAGTGCACTTTAGTACACTTGACCACAGAGGCTGCAACTTAACCCACACTAGCAACGCTTCTCTGACATCAGCAGGTGGCTTTGAAACCATTACAAAAATACTTTCTTATCTACATTCTAGCACAAGTTAACACACATTACCAGTCACTTTTAGCTTTAATGCCTGAGCCCTATGCTGCTACCCAATAAAGATTTTCTATCTTAATTTTGGTCTGTTATATGCCCACATTATGCAACAGCATTCAACTGCAGAACACTTTTTTGTTGTTGCTGTTCCCACAGAACAGTTGTGAAATCCTAGCCACTGCACTAGATGGAAACATTCTCAGAATGACTCAAAAGTTTTCTACCAAATGAGCCAACTGTCTGTGAATCCATTTTCTCTATTGTTATGGAAGTTTAGAGAGCATAAAGGATGAGACATGGAACTGCAAAAGAAGGAACAACATTTTTACATTTGAAACAATCAGTTGATACTTTAGGGTCTGGCAATGTCTTTGACAGAGTATCACAAGTGAAGCCGGATAAAGTGAACTGCTTCAACCAAATGTTCACAGCTGGCCACTACTTGTCATTCTTTTTTTTCTTTTTTGTGCCAAAGATGAAGTAAAAATGCAAAATTCCAACTACTCAGAACTTTACAAGATCAAAGCAGTGTGAAATTCTGAAGCTACAACTTCCTTTAAGATCCAAGGAACAAAATCACAGACTCTGAAAAAGTAAACTGGAAAATTTAAATCTTGGCATTTCAAGTTGCCACTGAAAAGGACAAAAAAAAATTAAAAACATTACACTGATTATTTAACTAAGGGACTGTTTTGTGATAAAAATGAACAGGATTGTTGAATGAAGGCTACATAAACTCAACTGCATCACTTTGTAATTTTTTAAGTGCTTACTTTCTCCATGAACATTTTTTTTAAATATACTTTTATACATAGGTCAATTACCAAGTTAAACTAATAAAAATTTAATAATCTACTGACTAGCCACAAACCTAGTGTCTTGTCTGTTGCAAAGATTCGTAATACGCACTTTTTACTGGTAGGTACTTGTTTTGAAATAGTATTTTGACACAACTGCAACTTACCAGCATAATCCTGAATGTTTACATTTCCACCGGCTTTTATTATGTTATGTACAAGGTCTACATCTTGATGAAAAACAGCCCTATGCAGTAAGGTTTCACCATATAGATTCCTCCTATGGATGACTGAAAGTGATGTGGGGCAAACTGGATTTACAGAATTCCTACCAAAGGCTTCTTGTCCTGAAAAATAATGCAAAAGATCTGTGGAACAGAAAAATATCTTTCCTCTCTTGTTTTCAGCTTGCATTAAAGTTAGTAAATGAGCCTTCTGGAGAAAAAAATGGTCCCTCAATCTAGTAGAAACAAGTATCTCAAAAAAATATTATCAGTTAAATAGTAATACTATTCAATAAAAGATGTCATAGTGAATTTCACAACAAAACAACTGAAATTCAATGCACAGAAATATGACTTTGTAGAAGTGTGTCCCTTTTAATGACATTTTCTCAAAGTGCATTGTTTCCCGCTGGATAATAAAATTGCTATTCTAGGTTACAATTAATTACAAGACATGTATTTCAATAGCTAGTAAGTTATTCAGTATTTCTTCTTTTCTTAAATACCATTTTTATCAGCCATTTTTTGGTATTCATTTCTATTTCAAAACCTCCACTTTGTGATCAAGGAATATTTACACTATGATAGTGATTGAGATTAGCTCCCTCGGATTACTTTTACCCATTACTGAACAACCAGTTCAGCCATTTCTGCAATGAGCAAAAGCAACAGTTGTTTGGGAATATGAGGTCTAAATGCAAAAAACCAAAATGTAGAAAGATACTATTTTTAATTTTCAGCTTATTGTTTTACAAACAAATATGATTTCCCATTATGCACTCATTACAGTTTTTTAGCTTGGGTTAAATTATTTCCAATACATATATGAGCTGTTCTCTATTGCACCAGCAGTGCTATCCCAGCATACCCTCATGCTGTGGAGAAGAGCATCCTGGCTACTTCCTCTTCTGAAAAATAGAGAGGGAAGAAAGAATGGAGGAAAGAAAGAACAATGCATAGCCTAGGCCATTAATTCATTTACTAATGAAAAAACTTGGGACAGTAGGCTATATATACTGCTTCTCTCCACTTCTGTAGAGCTGGCTCACTAGCCCTAATACTCCATCTTCTGGGTGTCAGAAACAGCTGTCTTAAGTATGACCTTACAAACTCATAGTTTTCCTTGAGCTGTAACTCAGAAAGCCTGATGTCTCTTGCTGGTTTGCACATCGTCATATACTGTGAGCTCAGACTAATTCCCAGCCTTCTTAAGTTCTTGTCTCTGTGTAGATTTTTAGACTCTTAATAGGTATGAGTTTATCGAGGACCTTTCCTCAGTTAACCACATGGACAGTCCTCCTCTCCTCTACCTGTCCAGCTTTGCACAACCTTAATCATTTAAGATACTGCATTCCCTAGTCAAAGCTGGACAAAACCTGCCAAGCAGCTCAGGAGGGATTAAACCACAGACATATTCAGAACAAGGCAGAGTTGTGTGTTACACGCAATCTAATTTAACCTGTTACTTTGCCAGGACCTATTTCCCATCACTTCTGCCCTGCCTTCCTGATGTCTGACTGTGCAAAACAAGTGGAGCTTGCTGATCCAAACTGACCTTTTTCATGGGGTTGGTTTTTCTTCAGTGAATGACCAAACTAAGACGACTCACAAACTTGACTGCTAGATCTGATGTGAAAGGGAGGTAAACTTGCTAGACTGGATTAGTATGAAGCTACCTCTACAGGCAGTGCAACTCCCTTTGTAGAAATCATGCTAAAAACCCAACAGCTTGTTTTCTGAGTGGGAATTAGTAAGTCAATTTGAAATAGATGAGCAGTTAGTCATACAACTTTAACTCTCATAAAAACAGTGCTTCCACTGGGAGTAATTAACACCCTGTAAAAGAAAAGGTTTGTTAATTTGAGGTAGAATTACTCATATGTTGTAAGATCCAAGATGTAGCTGTTACGGTTCAAATACTTCCAAACTTTGCAAGCTGTTTAAATGATTGCAGGTGCACAGACAAATCTAGACTGAGTGGGCTTAAAAAAAAAACAAACACCTTCTAAGACCCCAGTCTTAAAGGCTCTGGAATAAGCACTTAAGTGAGAAAATTCTGTATTCTGCTACACACTTCTTCTCTGAGGCAATGAATTTCTCTGCATGCATCTTCAAAGGATGAAAAATTGCAATCTTTCTCTCTGACAAAGCACACTGTAAGGAAAAATACTTCAAAAGAGTGCTCCGTGATTGTTGTAGTGAAGTCCTTATAATGCTATATTTGAAACAGACAACGTAACATCAGGCATTCAAAACAGGAAGAATTGGTTTGAATAGGTCAGTTCTTGAGTATGGCAATGCCCTCAGAATGATGTCACACACAGAACACTAGATTTCAGAAGGATTTATAAATGTATATTAGGATCTACATTTTCACTCTGCATGAAAACATGTCTCCTCTGCTTTTCAGAATACATCATTTTTTTTCATATAAAAAGCTGTGATAAAAACTGCATCCTGAAAAAGACTCATGATTCTTAAGGAGTTTAATAATAAACTCCTTAAGAAAAAACTGTTAGGTTGCCAATATGTAGATTTAAATGACAGAGAGAAATTATCAATAATTTTAATTATTAAAATGAATTTTTATACCATCCTTTTAAAATAAACCCATGTCCCAATATATTGGAAATTTTATGAATTATATTTGATTCAGTATAGTTGTTCAAATAAAAAATCAACAGATATCTTACTCAGTTTGTTTTCGATTCTCTTGCTCCTTCTTCTCTGCTTAACTTCACTATCCTCATTCAGAGTTATTTCTTGGTATACGTTTGTTTCTAGATCCTGCTTATCTTCAGTAGATTCATGAATTTCACTGACAAGAGATTTGCTTAGAATCAACAAAAACATGTAATTCTCCATACAAATCTATATTCTCTATATAAATCTATATATGAGAGATAAAAACATCAATATATTTGATTTTTAAAGGAAGTCTGTAATAGCATGCAAGTGTACAGGCTAACCTAGGTACTACTGAAAAAAGGAGAAAGAAGAGAACTTACTTCCAGATCTCCAAATAAAAAGGTACCTTTTACCTTTTCATCATTTATAGTCACTTACAGGAGGAATGAGTACTCTGTATGTTACATTAATTTAAAAAATGAATTTAAGAATATTATGCACGATTTTGTCATACTCAAAATCCTTAGCTTTGTTTCTTCTTATACTGCCACTGTGAGACATTCTCTGCTGAGTTTCTTCAAGCATTTGGCAGTGACTGGAAATAGGAGCTCTGCACTCTCTTGAGGAGGTCTCGCCCAACTGTATTGCTTTCCTTGATGTTGTTTGGGCTGCTTCTGCACATGTGGCAGCATTCGCAGAATGTGCACTTCCCTGAACAGTTTGCTTTTCACTAGAGGTGGCACCCCAGTAATTTGAAGTTACTTCTTTCTCTCTTTGCTGATCACCCACAGGCTATAACAAAAAGTAAACGTTACAAGGAACTGGTAGCACGCAGTTAGAGCAAGGGTGGTATATACAGGAGCTCCAAGAATATTGTCTTATACATATACTCACAAAAACCAGAGGGGTTGCTTAACCAAATAACTGGAATTCTACAGAGACAACAGAGAGAGGCTGCCAAAGGAGAAGCACTCCTAAAGTAGTATGTGCCCCTGGCAGAATTAGCCAAGGAAATCTGGATACTCAGAATGAAAACCTGAGCAACAAATCTAGACTGGCTGACAGTGAACAAAAGCTGTTACTATCTGAAAGATGTTTGGCTGGACGTATGAAATGACTTAACAGATTCATTTCACCTTCCTATGGACATGAGCTCCTGTCCTAAAAAATAAAGTGATATTTAAGATGTCTTAAACTAGCCCATTTTATCTCACTCTTGCACAAACCTAGATATGTGCACAAGATCAGGAACCATGTCTCACCTAAGGTTCAGTAACTTCCACCTAAGATGTTACTTCTAAAGTCATACCATACCTGAGTGACAGCCACCACAGATGAGATTCACTTCACTTACCTTCAGCCTTCTAAAAGCCAGGTATTTAGACAACACTAACATCCTTGTTACCCCTACCACTAGTGAAGAGGAAGAGTTACTTTCAGACATGATGGTAATTCACATTGTCCTAAGTTGTGCAAAGGGGAGCCTAAATGACTGGTATACACCAGAGGCTTATCTTTAATAGTCAGGAAGAGAAAGCCCACCCTGAAGATCACATAGCAGCTAATTTGAGTATATTCACTGTTTTAGTCAGCAGAGTGTGACATGCTGCAAAGTATCACTCAAGCTGCTGAAACCTGTGTACTCATTAGCTCATTACACACTTCAGTAATGCTGAAAGCTCTTAGCACACACCCTCAGCAAACATGCATACTAGCTCTTTCACGTGATGTGGGAGAACTTGTTAGTCCTTTCTTGAGACATAGATGAAAATGGAGGATTTGATGATTAATTCTTTTAAATGACACATTCTACAGATGTGGTCCCTCCAGGTCCAGAGATGATATGGGTCTTTGGAACTTTCTTTCTAGAGAACATGAGATAGGGAACAGGTACAGAGGCACCAGGAGGTTTTGAAACTCTTATGCTGATTATAGATTTCCACATCAGTCACTGAATTAACTTTTCTGGGATTTCCCATCCCAGCAAGCTCAGACATTTTTGTAACATCAATATCAAAACAAGAAAAATGCTACTGGATTTTTAAACAAAAAAAAAATTCAAATGTATTTAACATGTAAATTACTGATGCTAGTTTATTCTTTACTGATTCACAACCCCAAGTAATCTGGCTGTTCTATATTTCATGATAAACATGTTTTTTCAAGCATTAATTAAACTGTGTATATACTTGCTCATTTGTTGTCCTCTGCAAGTCAGATCCTCTTACGGCTTTTATTTCTTCCATATGAATTTTAGCAAGTTGAGGCTCAGTCCTGTTTGTTATTTGTGTACAGTCATCACCTAATTGGAGAATACTAGGTTCTGAATTTAAATGCTCTTCCTCTGTGTTAAGCTGTGTCTCATTTGGCACTACAGGAGATCCTGACATGGCATTCAGAGCCATTACAAGTTCTACTGGCAGTGCACCACTGCTCTCATCTGCTGATGAATCAATGGAACAGAAATGACCTAAATCGTCAGGCAATGGGTTTATCATTTTAAGAGTCTCAGAATCACTGAGGGATCCCAACAAATCAGTAATTTCAAGATCACTAGTGTCTATATTCAGTTCAGTGAATGCTTCCATGAAAATCTTCCCTACAGATGTCAATGAAAGAGGTATATCATCATCATGGGAATGTTCTTTTACTGTGTTATCCATGTCAGAAGTGGTCATGGAGGTTCCCTGGCAATCTTCTGAAATATATGGAAGTGTATGTTGTGATGTCTGCTCGTTTGGAACCCTTATCATATCCTCCAGGACATCTAGACAAACGCTTACTTCTGGAGGGAGATCTTCATTTAATTTCTGTGAAATCTAAACATTTAAAAAAATGTTTATAAAAAGCAATGGAACAAATCTTTCTGAAAAGCATGTCATTAACATTCACTTGAGAAGTAATCCATATAAATACATGTATTTTGTTTGCAATTTCTGTGCAAACTACAAGACTTATAGCCTTCCTAAGAATTCATACAATTTCTCAACAAGGGTCAGAATGAGGTCTCAGTTTCAAAAGTAGAGCACCTTAGCTGTTTACTTCCCTAGCAGTGAAAATCCAGAGTAAGAGAGACTAAATCTTTCATAAAATCAAAGATATTATGTCATTGCCAATGACCCGAGGGTATTAAAGGGCTTCAAAAAAAGGCATTACGTGTCACCCAGAAATAATGAAAGTTAACATATTCACAATAACATAAAAAGCATGGTTAGTAAAACACAATGTATGAGTTTTGAGTATGTGATTATGTGGATCCCACACAGGTATGGAGCATTTCTGCTTCACAAGCTTGAGTTCAAAACTTTAGGTATATGTTTGGAGGCTGCACATTTGAGTTTCCACAATACAGAATTGTGGAATACGATTACAGAATACAGAACCACAAAACCATACCTGTTCTTGGAAAAGTAATACCACTACTGTTTTTCTTAATACTCTGAGCTGCTTTCAACAGGTTCATCCATTTTTAAACCAATTAGTAGCTTTTTTGACTTTTTCTTATCCCTGGTCCAAATACTTCTGCAGAAAACCAGATGCCTCAGCAGAACTAAACTGTATTTTTTTCTAGATAACATTGTATATAATAGTGCTGTTGTTTAGTAATATTTGATCTTAAGGAAATCTATTTCAATACATTTTTAGACTCTTGCTGCCAGCAAGTGGCAATACTGGTCACTGCAAGAATCCTTTAACCACTGATAATGTAATTTTGATAAAGCTCACACACAGTAGAACAGAAAGGGCAGAAATCTGACAGCACTAACTCACATTCAGTTTGTAAGCCATTGTAAACTCCTGACTCTTATTGAAAATTATTTCCTAGTTTTCTAACTATTTCTAACTATTTCTAACTCTAACTATTTCCTAACTTGCACCTGTGCAGCTAATTGTTCTTTTTTAAGTACTGATTACTTCTTACTTTATTGTATTGAATTACAGTCTTTTTGGACTACATCTCTAATTTGTGCAGGCTTTAGACAACTGGGAAAAAAAAACAAAACACTGGCATGACTTTCTGTACTTGGAGAACCATGGTATAAACAGCATGTATGTACATCACAAATCTCCTAAGAAAAGGGTTCAATACATTTGCTGAAGGGCAGGTGAAACATACATTTATATTAATGCAGAAGTATCACACAGGCATAAATGAAATCCAACACTTAAAATGTGACTGGTGTTCACAAAACCCCCGCTATCCTCACATGTTAATTATTCCCTTAATCCAGGCACAGATCCTACTGACCTTCTGGCATCGGTCCAGAATCTCTTATTTCTTCATTTTACCCAGTTAGCATACACTGGTAACAGCTGAGCATGGCCACAGTCAATGCCAGCCTCAGCTGATGCAGAACACACTAGACGAAGCATGTGGACAGAGAAGTCAAACACAGCTTTCATAAATAAAATAAAATAAAATAAAATAAAATAAAATAAAATAAAATTTTTACTTGTCTGTGAATATAAAAAGTGTGTGTTAATAAACTCACTGCAACGAAGGCCAGCGAGCAAGCCAGGCTTACCCAAGCCTTAGATATCCACCTCTCCTTGGGCACTACAGGAGCAAGCTTTAATGTGGCCTGTCAGTTCCAGCAGATGGCACTGTATTCACATCAATGCAAGGAACTTTTTTTCCATGTGTTTTGAGAACAATTAAAAAGTTAATCGAGAAATCAGTGGCTGTTTGGCGTCACAGACTGTGGCTTTCAAATGTTACTGGACTGACTAATACTGAAGCATAAATAATAAGGATGTAGTGGAAATGTTAAGTGGACCCTATCTGCCAGCTTGGAGTCAAAACAGCAGAGGAATTTAGCCCTTCAATACACAGATGTAAGAGAATCAGTGTAAGAGTTAAGGTGTCAGAAAGATCAACATTATCATCTGAGCTGAAGATTACTTCTATATAGTGGGACATGAGGGATGCACAGAGAACCACAGAACTGTTGAGGCTGGAAAGGACCTCTTGAGATCATCTAGTCCAGCCCTGCCGCCCAAGCAGCGCCAGCTGCAGCAGGTTGCATAGGACCACATCCAGTCAGGTTCTGAGTATCTATGGAAGATGGAAATGCACAAGGTTTCTGTGCAACCTGTTTCAGTGTCTGGCTACCCTCACAATTAAAAAGTGGGGTTTTTTGGTTTGTTTTTTTTTTTTTTTCAGATGGTATTTCTTTCTTTTTTGTTTCCATTGATTGTTCTCGCTGGGCAGTACTGAGAAGTCCAGCTCTCTCATCTTCATTCTTTCCTGTCAGGTGTTCATACATATTGGCAAGATCTCCTTGAGCCCACTCTCTTCCAGCATGAATAGTTCTAGCTTTCTTGGCCTGTCCTCATACAAAAGATCATAGAATGGTTTGGGTTAGAAGAGACCTTCAAAGGTCATCTAGTCCAAACCCTCTGCAATGATCAGGAACGTCTTCAACTAGAGCAGACTGCTCAGAGCCCTGTCCAATCTGACCTTCAGTGTTTTCAGGGATGAGGCATCAGCCAGTTCTCTGGGCAATCTGTTCCAATGTTTCATCACCTTCATCATAAAAAACATCTTCATTATATCTAGTCTGGATCTACTTTCCTTTCGTTTAAAACTGGACCCTGCAACAGGCCCTACTAAAAACTCTGTCCCATCTTTCCTATCAGCCCCCTTCGAATACTCTGTAACATGCTCCTGGAGCCTTCTCTTCTGCCGGCTGAACAACCCCAGCTTCCTCAGCCTGCCTTCACAGGAGAGCTGTTCCACCCCTCTTCATCTCTGTGGCCCTCCTCTGGACTCAGTCCAACAGGTCCATCTCTTTCCTGGGCTGAGGACTCCAGAATTGAACACAGCACTCCAGGTGAGGTCTTACAAGTACTAGTACTCCCAAGCCCTCCTCCCCAGGGCTGCTCTAAATCCCTTCATCCCCCAGCCTGTACTGGTGCCAGAGGTCACCTCAAGCATCACGCAGGACCTTGCACCTGGCCTTGTTAAACCTCATGGAGGTCACATGGATTCACTTCTCAAGGTTGTCCAAGTCCCTCTGGATGGCGTCCTATCCCTCAGATCCCAACCTCATCACTTAGCTTGGTGTCATCTGCAAACTTGTTGAGGGTCTGCTCAATTCCACTGTCCATGTCATTGATAAAGGTATTAAACAGTACTGCTCCCAGTACAGAGCCCTGAGTCTCTACTGATCTCCATCTGGACATGAAGGCATTGACCACCACCTTCTGGATGTGACCACTCAACCAATTTCTCATCCACCAAACAGTCCACCCATCAAACCCATATCTCTCCGATTTAAAGAGAAGGATGTTGTTGGGAACCCTGTCAAAGACCTTAGAGAACCAGATGCACCAGTCTTTTAATTCTCTTCATAGTTCTGCACTGGATGCAGTCCAGTGTGTCTGTATCTTTCTTGTACTGAGGACCCAGAACTGGACATATTTTGCTGCGGATGGTCTTACCAGTTCTGAGGAGATAATCACCTCCCTCGACTTGCTGGCAACACTCTTCCTTATGCAGTCCAGGATATTATTCACCTTTGCTACACCAGTGTGTCACTGGCTCATGGTCTGCTTATTTTCCCCCCTTATTTTCTTCCTCTGCAGAGCTGCTTTCCAGCCAATTGGTCCACAGCACATACTCATGTCCAAGGTTATTCCTCCCCAGATGTAGAACTTTGCGTTTTCCCTTGAGGAATTTCATGAGATTTCTCTCTGCTCAGTTCTCCACCCTGTTCCAAGTCTCTCTGAGTAGCAACACAACTATCTGGTATATCAGTCACTCAGTACCATCTCTGAACTTGAAGAAGGTGCATTCTGTTCCTTTTTCCAGACCATTAATGAAGATATTGAACAGTACTGGACCTACTAGTAACAGACTAACCACAACACATATCAGAGCTGATACATTGCCAAAATCAAGACAAGTCCTGCTGTCAGGACTTCTACGTAGCGATTATTAGTTTATTAAATTCTCTTGTAAGTACACAAAACTAACATGCAGGGACTCACTGCCTGGTTGTCGAGGCGGCTGTCTTGTCCCTTCTTCAAATTAGGATACACAAACCTATGACAGCCATTAGTTCCTCTCACAAGATGTCTTCCTGCAGCACTTAGATCTTGCCAGTGCCAACATCAACCAATATGCAAAAAGAATAATTCACTGCAGTGATCATTTCCAACCTTTTTAGTCCAGGCTCCTAACATATCCCCTCTGGAGGATGCACCCAATCTGCCTGTTCTACAGAGGCTGTTAACTGTAGATAATCTTTGCTCTAAGGCATTTTGATATTGTTCTATTTAACTAATTCTGTACAATGAATGTTTGATTTAATAAACTTGGTATTATAGTTGTATACTTGTAGTGTAATTTTCAAAAAAGGAATAGCCTAGAGGATTTCATTTTTGTCCTTTGCTCCAAGACAAGGGATACTCGACCACGTAATCAATCATATTTGCTACAAGACAGGGACAATTAGCCATAGTGGTCTTAAATTTCTCTTTAGTGAATTTTAGCAAGTACTGTTTTTCCCACAAACTTAACCAGACTGCCTGAAAAAAAGGAAAGTAAAATAGATTTATATATAATTCTAACCTTTTATTTTTAGATACAAAACTATGGGACTAGCCAGAACAGTCATAATGCTATGATTTCAGCAGAAAATTACACTGCATATTGTAAATTGCTTCACGCTGGAATGTCAAAGAAAACATAATGGAACTGGTATCCTCTCTAAGTTAATGGGAGGTTTCCTAAGAAGCTGCAGATAGCAGCATTACATGTACCCAGTAAGATCCCCTCGTTTTTCTAGCACCCATGCAGCTGATGCCGCTAATGGTCAGAAATTCTCAAAACTGCCCATGACACTGCAGTAGGACTTGGTAACAGCAGTTACTTTTTGCTGCAAAAATAGCAACAGAGTAAATTTCAACTATTTTCTCTGTCCATCACAAATAGAGCTGAAAGCAATGAACCGGTCAGAGTGAACTGAGACTAGAAATCAAAAAGCACAGAGAGCATTGAGTCTCAGAGGAGCAACAGGAGGTAACAATGCAGAGGTTGCAAAGCAGATACAAGTAACATCACAGAGTTGAAAAATGAGGGAAAAGATAGATTCAAAGCTATTCCCTCACTTTTACCTTATCAGCAGTGAAATCCGTCACTCATGAGCAGCTCTAGTGTTACTAAAGAGGTGTATGAAATAGACTGGTACCACCCGTTTTTGGCCACAAGTGATTACTCCCTAAAAGAAGGACAGTTACAGATAATCTGTTCCTCCTCAAAGACTTTCCTAATATCTCTCCCATAACTTTCATTGATGGAAAATATGGTTTTAGTGACTAAAAGTCTTCATTACTTTAGCTTCCTTATAGATTCTGGGTCATGGTGATGTCTTTCCTACTTCCCTGTCACTGCTATGCTTCTACCCTTGTGCCCTGCAAACTTAATAACTGCAATTCCTACCCAAAAAGCAGGAAATAAAAATTAGCTCTCAAGTTGTTTTCACCCAGTACACTCGGTGTCAGTTTCTACAGCTGTGTGCTTGCTTTTTAAAATGAAAGAACCAGGATTTTTTCAGTAAAATATGGTCTATATTAATTCAGTAAATTATGGCCTAAATAAACTGATTAAGCTAAATGGTATTTTATATACATTTAGTTGTAAAAATACACTAACCTTTTCTTCTGAATCTTTCTGAAATCCATTCAATTCAATATCTAAATTTAGGAGAGTAAAATATTTCAGTTGTATTTTCCACATCTGAAAGTTATCATCTCTAATAAAGCAGCCTCATTTCCTGACTGAGGCTGAAGTTCTAAACTTTAAAAATTAATACAGTCATGTTCCCTAACTGAATTGACAACAAGGTTTCTAGTTAGGCTCTGTTAGCCAGCAGAATACATTCTAGGGCTCTTTTGTCATGTATCTTCACCGCAGCTTAGAGGCCCATGTTTCCAAAAACAGTCAGCAGATGGAATTGCTGTCCATTCCCCAGGATGAGACCTATTCCCTGCTCTCTGTAATTACAATGCAATTAGACAATAAAACTAAAACAACCCAATAATTTACTGCCTCTGAAAAGGGCTGATCCCAATCCCTGTGCTTCAATCACCATGTTTTGACATACATGTAACTCCCTGGGAATTTCCTAATCAGAAATGAAGTGAATGATTTTCTACTGGGTTTCCAAAATTAGCTCAAACAGGGAGACTACAAAACAGATAGGTCAATCTTGCACTGTTGGGAGCATAGAGGAACAAACATAAGTACAACTGAAGTAGCAGCAGGTGACAGACAGATCAGGGGAATCACCATTAGTTTTTTTGTTTCTCCTTTCTTACAGATGCCTTTGATTTTGGATATGTCAGTAAGAAGCATGTAAGAACCTTAATGACTGTTACATCCATGTTTACCTTACATATCCATAGAGCATTTGAGTACCGTGTGGCTTGTAACTTCAGTCAGAAAAGCAACAAAATAGTTTCAAACTGAAAATATACCACTGGCTTGGGAAAAACATTTATTTCTTCAAACAATCCCAACAGAATACTTACAAGTGTGCAACTTGTAGTCCAAGACAAGAGTGAAAACTAAACAACTGCTGTAAAGGCCATATATAGTCAGATCCTAAATAAACCTACAGGGATACTAATCTTCAGCTTCTCAAATTATTTTGTCACAGCTAGAGCAACTTTCAGTTTTGTGCAAAACACAACATACCTACAGAATTATTTTGGTGTCCCTCTACTGCAGCATTCAGTGAAAAACCAGACTTAGAAATATTTTCAGTAAGTGATGGATACTTTATCCAACCCCTGGAATTATATAATAAAAAGTTTTTCTTCAGAAATAATTGTAATCTGTTCAGTTTAGGACAATTTTTACAATACTTTAGAGTTTATGCAGTTTTGTACTTACAATTACGTGTGGAAACTACTGCAATTATTTTAAAGGCATACTTCCCTTTACAAGCACATATAGCAACTAAGACTTTCAGATTTCCTGAAAGGCGCTAACTATGTTTGTACATAAGTGAAAAAACGGTCATTCCTATTTTTATTACTTCTTCCTGTATTTCTATTTTAAATTTATCTGCTGCTGAAATCATTCCATAGCTTCTAAGAGTGAAAGTTCTAATTTATTTGTTGCAATTTTTTTGTTTATTTGTCTAACGTCTAATCCCTGAGTAGTTCACAGTCATTCCTGTTGCTTACACCCCTATATCTTTGAAGGAAATATCACCAATGAAAACAAGTACAGTTTGACCCATATTGGAAACAGAATTGCCACTGACATAAATATAGATGTTTCACTAAGCAAACAAGGAAACTACTTTACAATAGAGTATTTATAATAGAGTAATGTAAAAGGTAATGAGAATTTAATTGTTTAATTATAGTCCACCTGACTGGACTTCCTGTGTGACCTATAATACTCACTGCAGGAGAGACTGAGACTGGTCAGATGTGTATGCCTCTTGAAATATCTGAATGAAAAAAAAAAAATTAGCAAGTTAGTAAACAAAGTACTTCATTATTTATTTTCTCAGCTTCATTACATGCTTATACTTCTGTAATTGAGTTGGAAAATGGAAATTTTTGATCCAGTCTTTACATACATACTTATAAGATAAAAATCCATTCCACTTAAATCTTTCTTTTTTTCTTTGTGCTGTTTGAGAAAAATGCTAAAAAATAGATCAAGACTGTGAAAGACAGCACTCACCCAGAAGGAAAACATACCTACACAAGTACGACATGAATGCTTTAAATGTTGGGTGTTTCATACATCAAAAGACCAAAAGCAAGGTATTTTTATTTCAACTCCCAGTTTTAATCCTCTTTTTGTAACAATTGCCTTTTTTCATTAAGACAGGATGCTACTCGAGAGACTGTGGAGTTCAGTATACAACTCTCAATATCCGTGGAAAAACCAGAATTAAAGAACTCAGCTGACAACTTGTCCCATCAGCAAGCTGTGACAGAGGTGCCACATGCAGAGGCATGAAAGGTCATGTGGGTAAGGTGAGAGCTAATATCACAGCAAGAACCGAATTGGAACTCTTCAGTAAAAGGAACTTGGATCTTTTTTTTTTGTCTCTGTACATAACGGCAAGTTCTCCCCTAGCCTGGGACAAGAAGTAAAGATGTAAAGTCTAAGGCAACCAAGGAATGATTAAGACAGGCAAGTGAACTGCAGAACACTTCTGATCCAGATGAGCCAAAGACTGGGTATTACTAGTGGACTATCAGCTTAACAGCTGCAATTTTAAACACAGCACTGACATACAATGGAGAATATTCACAGCACCAGGAAACCTCTGGGAAAGAATCTGTTAGTGTGGACACAAAATGATGACTTATTTGGCTTGCACAAGATATTAGCAACACAGCAAGAACAACTATCTTAGCAATGACATGAACAGCAACAGGAGGAGTTAGCCCAGTAAGGACTGTTAAAAGGCTCAGATTCTGGTACAGGACAGATTCTGTAGAAACAGCCTGTGCAACAATTACAGACTGATCTAGTTCAAAAATACTGCAATAGTAGAGTTGGCAGAAAGTTACCGACTTTGCTAAATACACCCTTTGTACAAATCAGCCCTGGTATTTACACAGAACATTATCCAGAGATCAAGCAAGGTCAGCAGGTTAGCTGACTAAATCTCTTTGACTAGCTAACATTGCTCAGTCAGACACTTAAAGCTCAGTGGTATACCTCAGAAGAAGTAGGAGCTATTTTGTCTGCTAAAAAATTAGGTTCTAAGCAAAATCAGTGCATTGCTGATATGTTGCGAGGCCTTCTCACATCATGAAAGTTACACAAATAGTATTTGTGGCCATGGACTGCAAGTACTTGGAACAGCCTTTTGTCCTGTTCTCTTGCTTTTGGCAAGAAAATCCATGCAAAACTCAAACTATTTTTCTCATTTGAACACTTACTAATAGGGCCAACTATCTGAGGGGACTCCAGATGTGCTCCAAAAAAGACTGACGCCTAAAAGCTTTAAGTGCCGCCAAACAACTTCCGGTGCACTTGGCCGAACTGGGCAAGAAAAAAAAAGGCCCTGAAAAACATGAAAAGCACAAACCTGCATCATGGGGCCTGCCTGAACAAGCCATGGAATAGGGGGTTAGTAGATAACAGCAACGATCTGTCAGTTGGAAAGAACCTGAATCCTAGAAAATCTGTCTGCATATCTACTGCATCTCTGGTGGAAGAGAAGTCTTACTTACAATCTCTTACATAGAATCACAGAATAATTTAGGCTGGAAAAGACCTTTACGATCACTGAGTTCAATCATAAACATAACACAGCCAAGTCCACCATGGAACCATGTCCCTAAATGCCACATCTACATGTCTTTTAAATACCTTCAGGGATAGTCACTCAACCACTTCCCTGGGCATCCTGTTCCAGAGCTTGACAACCCTTTTAGTGAAGAAATTTTTTCCTAATATCCAATCTAAACCTCCCCTGGCACAACTTGAGGCCATTTCCTCTTATCCTTTGCTTGGGGGAAGAGACTGATTCCCACGTCACTACATCCTCCTTTCAGGTAGTTGTAGAGTGGGTGAGGTTCCCCCTGAGCTTCCTTTTTTCCAGGCTAAACCACTCCAGTTCCCCCAAGCCATTCCTCATCAGACTTGTGCTCAGCATTCACCAGCTTCACTGCCCCTTTCTGGACCCACTCCAGCAACTCAATGTCTCTCGTGTAGTGAGGGGCCCAGAACTGAACACAGGATTTCAGGTGCGGGCACAATCACTTCCCTGGCCCTTCTGGCCACACTATTTCTGATACAGGCCAGGATGACATTGGCCTTCTTGGCTGCCTGGGTACAAGCTGGCTCATGTTCAGCCAGTTGTCAACCAGCACCCCCGGGTCCTTTCCTGTGAAGAGCCACACTGGTGCAATCTATGCATGCAAGTATCAAGGATGAAAGGCTAATATGGTTCCTTACAACATTCAGTGAAGATTTAAATTTTATATTGTCCCCATGCTGTGCATAACCAAGCTGCTAGTGGCATGCTATATAGCTCTCCCAGGAAAAAAAAAAAACAAAACCAAAACAAATAAAACTGTGAGTTTCCCAAACTATTCGGTGAAAAGTACAAGGTTTCTTTGCTTTTATGACTTTTCCTTTGGCAGACAGGGGATTTATCCTTACACTTGGAAGAATCCCTTTCTGGGACTGCAAACTGACTACTCCGGTGAGACACATAAAGCCAAAGACTTAGGTCAGGCAGCAGGTAGTCATCCCTGCTCTCAGAGGAGAAAGGGAGAGCATAAATGGGCACTTCCCTCACTCCCTCTGTCCTTAGAAAACCATGATAAATTTCAGTCAAGACAATCCTGGGACATGCAAGCAGCAAAACAGACTTACAGAAAAAAAGTCTTTGAAATAATAGCTTCTTTTTTCTTTCTATTTCCCATGCTGTCACTTGAGAGAAATTTATTTGTAATTCTATAATGCCCTGTAAAAACATTTACTTCAGTAGGAGTGTCTTTATTCAATGTAGTTTCTATTCTCTAGAAAGCAGTTTAGTTCTTCTAAAAACTCTTCTCATACTGGATACACAGTGGTCTTTGGACTGGTGAATCCACAACACTAAAGACAGTCTAACAGTTACAGGTTTTAAAATAATTTCAGTTACAGAGTAGAAACCTGTTTGTTTCTAATTGTTTCATGAGTGTGTCCTATGCAGATGGCAAACTGATTGCTCAACTGAACAACAGTTTATTAATTAGATACCAAATGTGGCAAACATATTGAAAGGCAGGCTAATTAGCATAATAAGGAATGCAAAATTATCCATAGAGTAGAATAATTAGCCCACCATTATGCAAGCATTCTATTCTGCATTTGACATTATTATCTTTTTTAAAGAAACAATTGTCCAATCAATGGATCACAGCTAATCTCATAATGAGTAACTGAAGGGTGTATTCTCGTATGGTTAACCCAGATAGTTGTCCTTCAGCTTCTGAAGGGAACATATTAAAAACTCTGTCCTCCACAGCTTATCTTTGTCATGGTCTTGTTCCTCACATACACCCTCATGAAATACCAGGGAAGAGACCCTGATACATTCCTGGAGAGAATGTGCTACACATGTGACAACTGTCATGACGTAAAATTCATTTCAGCTGCAAACCACCAGGTTCCTTTGCACATAAAGAATGTGAGCCCCAGTGAGTTTATTAACAATTATTAGCTATGTATGTGTAGCAGGGTACACACAATTTCTATGCTTACTGGATTTATCTGTTGTTGCTTCTGACTATACATGTGATCACAAAATTTCGGTATAAAACAGATTTCTGGAGAAGCAATTCCTAGGAAAACAAACAAACAAACAAGAAAATTACAGTAATTGTAGGAATGAGACTGTGCCATATGTGGTGAAGGGATTATACTTAAAGGAAGTTTTGATTGCCTTAATTCCTATATAACATTCCATAACTCCACAAATTTCTACATAATCCAGTAACTGAGGTATAAGCATCAAAGCTTCTGATATGCAATGGACTTAAGTGGATTAAGTAGATTTTAAAACTACAATATAGGAGAGGTCAGAAATTAATAAAACCAGCTGGGGAGGAATTTATTTCAGTTAGTGTTCTGGCACCCTCCCTGAGTGTGTATTGGAGTGTGTACCTTTCCTAAATTTTTTTTTTTAAACTAAAAACTGTAATTTTGGTGAGCTGCCTGATCCACTTGACTAAGAAATATTTGTAGTCCTCTATGGAATACTTTAATGACTACGCAAAGGAAGAACTTCTCTATGGAAATGAAAAAAAAAAGAAAACCCCTAGGTTTCCAAACTAAAATTACTGACATTAACAAAATATACAGAAAATTAATCTTTGTTATGTGTCTCATCACCCAATTGCTACTATAGGAGTATGCACAAATATATGAGTAATGAATATCAATTCCAATTTACTGAATGTAAATTGCCACAGGCAGAATGCTAAAAATATCATAATCTATTACATTTACAGAGACCAAAAAACCCCACCCAGCCCTCAGACAAATCCCCAGTCTAAAACCTGAACACTGAGTCAAATAAACATGCCTTAAACCATGCGTGTTGAATATTGCAAGGTTTTAATTCCAGTGAATAACCACAGACAAATTCAAAATGGGATGATGCGTCTTTCCTCAGACAAAACTACTGAGCAACTACGAAAGGTTCATCATCAGGAAATCACATTGATGTGAAAAGTTTCTGTGGATTTCAATGGGCTTTATGTAAGACTTATATTAACTCAGAGCAGGCTGATTAAAAAAAACAATAGCCTGCCCAGGTCTTCAACCTGACAAAAAGACAACCCAAAAAAAGAAATCTGGGGGAATACTAAGTACACCTTGCGCCACTTACAGAATGGGTAGTCTCTGTATTGCTGCAATAAAATGTACAGGATCCAAGTCAAATGGATTACATGAAAATGCTGAGGAGGTACCCATAAAACTATTATGTAATTGCAACATGATTGCTTATGCAACCTGCTCTAAGGGAGTTACTAGGGAGAATTTTAAGACTTTAAATTAGTGTGCACATATTCATGTTAAAATTAATAATACGCTTAAAATAATGCACTTAAATATTCCTACCCAAATTTGTGTTAAAAAGAATGGATATATTAACAATATTAAAGCTTTTTAAAAAAATTACTATGTGCAACTATAGTAACGACAACTATTATATGTATAGTAACTACAAGTATTGTATGTATAGATTCCATTTATAAACCTTCTATGTGTTTAGATTCCATTTATTTTATTCTGCTCAAACACAATACACATACCCAAATAAAAAGGATATCCCTACACATAGTTCAAACACTTCTCAAGCCAGATATTCTCAGTTACTAGTACCTACAAAAAATGGAGAAATTAAGAGCACGCCTTTTTTTTCATATATTGAAAATGTGCTGAACGTTCTTCTAGAACGAGAGTTAAATCCATGAATATAATTAGGGAGCACATACAGTTCATGAAAATGAACTCCATGTAACGCCTATGTTGAAGTAACACAGACTTGGGCAACACTCACAGCAGCAATTCATTGGAAAAAACAACACAGGCTGAAAGAACCTGTCTTACCTTTATGAAATCTTGTTTCTGCTCTTAAATGCACATCCTCACTAAGAAAAGGCAACCTTTGCAAAATAAAATAAAATGCCATTAAACAGTTGCATGCTCTGCTTTTCACTCCTATAAACTCCAAGGAGAGTTGAGGCAACCAAGGGCATCATCTTGGCCTCCCCTGGGGACACTGCTAACAGCATATTGGCTGAGTGCACCTCTCAAGCTAACACCAACAGTAAAGAACCCTCAGACTGTGAAGATACACCTGATACTCTGCACAGAAAACCTGCGGTAGGGAGGCGCATCACCAGTTTACGGATTTCCAAGCAATACTGGGTTGCGAGGACAGCACAAAGTGCAACCACTTGGTAACTTCAACTCTGCCATGTCTTAAGACGATATAAGAGAGAATGTCATGAAAATAGCATCAAGTTAAAGTTGTGGAGAAGTTAACATCAGTAGCAAACATATTCAGTAATGTGTTTTTTATTTTCTCTGAGTTGGGTTCTGATACATTTCATGTCTGCTAACTGTTACCTGGGAGGTCTGGAGGTTACAAACTCGGAAGCCCACAAGGTGTGTTGTGGAAAATGCACAGGGCCATTTGCAGAGGTGAGAACTACGGTGACTAGGGGCATAAAAAAACAGAGGGAAAAAACCAAACCAAAACCAAAACTAAACAAAATGTATTAAATATTCGAGAAGAGCCTCCCGTGAGGCTCGGGAGGGAGGGTTCAAGTGTCTGGCTGTTCCTTGCCAGGGTGAAGCGCGGCGCGGGGGAGCCGGAGGTCAGCAGTCCGCTTCTCCTCATGGCTGCGCGGGAGCGGACCCTCAGCCCGCCGCCACACCTGCCGTCTCGCTCTCACAGGTACTTGCGGTGCAGAGCAAGACCGCGTTACCTCCTCCTCCAGAGGAGCTCCTCTTCATCCACATCGCTTTCCGGCACGGAAGCCTCCACGATGGTCTCGTCGCTGCTGCTGTCCTCACCGCCGCCGCCGCTCATGCCTGCTCCGCTTCCTGCTGCTCTCCCTGGCTGCCGTCTCTGGCCCCTGCGTGCCGCGCTGCTCCCCTCAGCGCAGGAGGCGGCCTCCATCTTGTGCAGCCTTAGCCCCGCGTTGCATCAGACTAGCCGAGAGCGGGCTGGGAGAGGCAGAGCTGGAGGGGAGAGCCTGGCCGCGACCAGCGCTGCCTACTGCGCGGGCAGGACCAGAGGGGCTGGCGGCGGGAGATAAAAGCAGGTCTCCCTGCTGAGAGATGATCTGAGTCTCCTTCAGCAGGACCAGCCTTGGCCTGCTTGGGGCGGCCCTTTCGCGGGGTTTGCACCTCCTTGCTAGCACTGGGCCGCTGATCCAGGGCCTGTTGTACACATCTTTTCAGCAAAGCCACAAAGTGCTCAACATTCTCATACACGTGTCATCGAAAATTTCTCTCTTTTCCTAATTTTTGTACTTCCATGGCCACATTTTAAGCAGCTAACTTAATCTGCTGCCCTGAGCAGCGTGAGTGGTCAGTGGTTGAGCTTGAAGGCCTTAAAAGGTCTTTTCCAACCTAGCTGATGCTGTGATTTGGTGCTTTAAGTGTAGGAACGTATCTGAGAGAACCAAATTACATCCTGCCAGTACTGTCACAGTATTCGCAGTAGCGTTCTTATACATAACCCAGCAATCACCTGTTACCCACAGCAATGTTTATCCTCAAGCAGACAGATTCTGCCCCAGCTCTGCCTTCTGCAGCTGTGCCCAGGACCCGTGTGGAGCCCAGCTGTGGACAGGCCACTGCAAGAGCTGCAGGCATAAAAGCTTGGTGGTAGAAAATGTGTTTTCATCATGCAAATTTCAAATCATCATCGTGACTGCTGCTCCTGGTGAACTTGATGATAAAATTGGCCTTTTGGTATTTGCCAAATCATATTCATCACCTACTGCTATGGGAAAAGTGGGGGACACAGAACAAGATGCTGAAGGATATTTAAGCTTTGTATCAATTGCTCGTAATTATTGCAGGTGTGTACAAGTTGCTGTTTTGCTTGGAGTTACCCGTATCTACATGCCATTATAGCAATTGCTGTGCATATTATCAAATGACTCCAGAAATCTCACTGGCCATACTTCACTCTTTTCAGGTAATACAGGTGAGGTACTCAAGAGAACATGAGTGTTAAGAGAGAAACTGGCAGGGACAATGGACACTGGGAAGTTAGTAGGATTTGTAAGTGTCACACCGAAGATGAGAATGAAAAGTGTATTTACGCATTGAAAGACTGAGCTGACAGCAGCTACTTTGGGTGGAGTTCCCAGGAAACCTTTCCATTGGCAAGTGAGATTTTTTGAGTATCCCATTAATGCTGGAGCTACCAAAAATACTTCCAAATGAAACAGCTCGTGTAAGAAGTGGGTTTGTAGACTCTGGGCTGTATATCACCCACAGCAAAATCGTTGTGGCTTGTATTTTGGGTTGTATTTGAACACATTAACCTGCAAGCTCAGACGCAGCAGCACAAAGAGGACGGGCGGAATGGGAGCCACGTATTGCTGTTACCGAGGGCGCGTTACACCTAACTAGGTGCCCTAAGAGAGTAAGGGGGGGCCTTCTGTATTTCGTGAGCCAAACCCGGTATTGCCCCTTGGGCAGCCAGCGACCAGCGGGCACAGATGGAGCCTTCCTCTGAATGCCGGGCACCGCCGCTCCCCACAAGCGGGACGGCACCGCCGCCCAGCGCGCCGGGCTCCCACGGGCGGCACCGCGGGAAGGGTGGGTTGGGCCAAGGCCGTCGGTCGATCGCCATATGTAAACGAGTCGCCTCCTGCCGCCCAATCAGGACTCACAGAGCGACCAGCGCGGCGGCCCATTGGCGGGCAGCCCGTGGCGAGATGGCGTGTTCCCCACTCCTGATCGAGTCTGGAGCTGTGCGGCGTTCGCCTGGATGTTGCCCCGGCGACGCAGGGAGTGACGCGGCACGGGCTGGGCGTGCCGGGCGCACGCCATTGGCTGCTCGATCGGGCGATGGCGGCGGCTGGCGTGCCGCGCCCCGGGTGTCCTTGCTCGGGGAGGAGCAGCAGGCTCAGTCCGCGGCGCGGCGGAAGCGTGGGGAGCGTTGCTGGGTACGGTGGTGCGGCGCTGGCGCCAGGGCGGTGAGCAGCGAGCAGCGGCAGGGGTGGCAGGAGGGCCACGTTTAGTCAGGAGCGGTGCGGGGCAGCGGCAGGGGTCCTCGTGGTCTAGGGACGGGCCGCGGCTCCGGGCGGCCACTCGGGGATCAGCCGTGTGGATAACCGCGGGGCAGGGCGCTGCCGTCACCGGTGCCGCACCGGAGCGGCGGCCATCCAGCGTCACAGCGCCGGGTGGCGAGCGAGGGAGGCCAGAACCGCTGTTGCGGTGCCTCCTTGACGCCGGAGGGTGCGGCCCCGCGGCGTGGGCCCCGGAAGGCTTTCCGCGGCACCGGCTTTCGCAGCGTTGCTGTTGCGCGGAGCCTCCGCGGCTGCAGGGAAAAAAACCGTCGTTTTCCGTGCAGACCGAGCCTCGGTCACAGTGCACAGCTGTGCTTTGGCACGGGGCTGGTGGGGGGCGTGCGGGAGGGTGATGGCCCTCACTGAAAAAAAGCCTCTGCGTCTGTGGGGTGTCATGTGCTGTGCAGGTGAGCTCTGCGCAGGCTTTCGCTCAGCTGTTTTTGCCACTCGCTACCTTTATAACGCCGTAGCTATTGCTGCATCAGCCAGCGAGAGGTGGGAGATTTGTGCTGATCTAATAGATGGTGTTGCAGATGATTGCTCTGAGGTTAGTGAGAACTGTGTGTCAGACCGAAGGTATTTCATTCAGTTACGTGGCAGATAAATTATGTAAATTATTCATGTAAACATACAACCAGTCTAGTTTGCAAATTACGGTTTTGTACCTTTTAAAGAAGTTGCAGTTATTTTTTGCTTCTGTTTTGTCTCGATTTCCAGAATGGATTGCTTTGCATTATAGTCTGGAAATTTTTGCTTGAAAACAAAGGCAAATAGGAAATTGTGGAATCATAGCATTATTTGCATTCGAAAGGACCTTAAAGATACCTAGTTACGTGTCCGTCCCCCTCCGTCCGTGTCGTTCCCCCCCCCCCCCCCCCCCCCCCCCCAGTGGATAGGGATTTTTGAAGCATACTTTGAATCACCATTTGAAATTTAATAAAATTATATTAATGTTAAATATTAATTTATATTTAACATTGTCTTGCTAATGTCAAGCTATGAGTCATTGTAACTATAGAAATAATTTTAAACAGAATTAGAAATATAAGCTGATCATTTTGCAGCACTCAGTAATGCAGGATCAGTGTATGAAATCTTGATTGATATTTTCTAGAATGGTAACTGCATAGCAAAAAGCCCCGTGCACTTCAGGCGGGTTAAATAAACACGAAGGCTTTAAAGAATCTTTTCTAGGTTGAGAGTTACTAAACCCCAAGATCAGCAGTGAGGCATCCCATATTTTGTAGCAGCAGTTAATGATAAAAGGTTGTCTAGTGATAGTTATTATGAATAATTATTTTCATAATCAAATTAATGCAGCTTTTCCTAATTGATTTATGCAAAGCCATTTCACACTTACTGGTTTTGCTTACAAATGTGGAAAATAATAGCTGAAGAAATACTTTAAAATCGTTGTAGCTCTACTAAGAACTTGTTCATTGACAAGGTAGTAATTCCAGCTGTTAGAATTTAAGAGTTGTAGCTTTAGGACTAGTAGGACACTATGTTATATAGTCATGTAGTCCGTACTAATTTTATTTGTTCTGAAACAGTGTGCTATTCAGAAGTATTTGTATTTTCATAGGCCATTGCTATGCCTTTCTTATTCTTGGCCTTGCTTCAGAATCTGTGGTACTAAGATATATTCCTCTCGCTATGTCTTATTTTAGTTTTCCTAATTAAAAGATACCTTGTGTTCTGCTGAAGAAAATCGACAGTGCCCCTTTGGAATAGCTTTGCAAGAACATAAATTTACAAAACCATACATAGATTATATTACACAGGGAAAAACAAATTACGATGTTGACTTTGAAAGGAGTGGTTATGCTGTATTTGTTTTTTAATAAAAGCTTTCTGTCAGGAAGAAGTCTATTTACAATGAAAGCAGTCCTTGGTGAATGGTTCCATGAGCCAAAAAGTCCTGCTATGTCTTCACTGTGAAGGGTAGAGAGAAATAGACTGGTATTGTTAGTGCTCCCATGATTGAGATTGGCTTCAGTAGGAAACCAGTATGATTCTGGTATCTTCAGAAACACTAAGCAGATAAATTTGCCCTCTCTGTTATTTTCTCCATTGAACGACAGCTTCGTTTTTGATGTCCAAGGAAAAAAAAAAATAAAATTAATAGAAGACTCCATTCCCAGAAGCCTGATGGAGGGATTGTTACTTTTAAGGCAACATGATGAGGTTTTCAATCGACTTTGAAATGTCAGTGTGTAGAGCCCTCAATCCTGTATGGAAATCTAGTTGGAAATCAGTGCTAGGTTTGTACATGTAAATAGTGAATTACAGATTGTCTCTGCTAGCCAGGCTACTATTTAAGCATCTTCTGAACTTTATCATATAGTTACGTAATTTTTCATCACACGAGTTTTATAAGATGTTGATAGTGTGTGGTAAGTCCCAGTACTAATGTATTTGAGAGAATTTTTTGGCATTTTGTTCCCGTGTTAAAAGCCATAAGGAAACATTCTTGATGAACTTGTCTAAAGGCACATCACAGAGCAAATTGACCAGGATGCAGGTTTTGTAACTGAAGGTTGTACCATCCACGTTCTCAGTTATGTGAAAGAGGTGTGAGGATTTCTGTTGGATATTTGTTACCTGTTGAAAGGGGATGATGAAATGGAGCAGTAACCTGGGAATTAGTTATGGGTAAAAGAGCAGTGTCACAAAATACTGAATGTGAGAAGGACTTGGGCTTGAGGTGAAGAAGGAACCATTTTGAATGTGATTAACTTGAATCACTGCAGAGTATTGAGCAGAAAATACAGAAGACAGTGATAAAATTACAATTCGTGCTGTTGAAGTCAAGCATTACCAACAATGGTTAGTTGGTAATTTTATATAGTTAAAATGAAGTTAGTATTTTTGGTAGGAAGAGTGAGTAGAAAAAAGTTACAGAATTTAGTAAGTGCTTATGTAGGTGGTAAAAACAAGAAGTTTGAGCCAAAGTGAATCAAAACTGTATGACAGAGATGTATGTGGTGGAGACATATTAGCAAGAC